TCGACTTAAAGATAGGTTGTATTTGCTAACAAGGTCATTGTATCGACCATAAAACTTGCGATATGATGACTTCAAACGAGACTGTTGATATCATTGTTTCAACAACTTTTTTGTCAATAGCTTGCCTCGTTTTAGAAATTGTTCATATGTATAGCATGTTCTTGCGTATCGAATCAACTGAGAGACAAAAGCCCCTTATGCAGGTGATAATGATAAATTGCTAGTTAGGGAAGTTGAGACGATTGGAAAATTAAAGGCATCACATCTATCATAAAGCTTTGTTAGGTTTCTATTCAAGTTTTTTTCTGGTAAAATATTCAAATATGAAACAGATGTGTCAGACTCTCTGGTATCTTCTCAAGCTCAATGGGATATATCGAGTCGACATATGAATGAAAGTAACTATTGATAATTGAAAATACGTCGTCGATATATCTAAATGTCGAGTTGAAGGTCACAGCAAGTGTTTTCTTCTCATATAGAAATTTTTGAATAAACTCTGCTAATAAGGGGCGAAATTGGTACCCATGGGAATTCCAACAGATTGTTGGAAGACCTGATCACCAAAAACTACATAGATATTGTCAATCAGAAACTCAGCTTCTTTTTAATATCCACTCAGATTACTTGTTTGTTGTTTTTGAACAAAATAATTTTGCAAATAACCAATGACAAGTATTTTTACGAGTTCCATTTTTATTGAAAAAGCGGCTGTCTATGATGTCAAAAAGCCTAGACTTTAATTTATCGTGAGGAACGTTTGTGTGAAGTGTAGAAAAGTCGTACTTTCTGATGTTATTCATTTTGTTAAAATTTTGGGATTTTGGGACTCCTTGGAGTTTTTAAGTATCACATCTGATTTACACCACTCCTCGAATATACTGTTGTACGGTACTCCTGAAGTTTCTCCTTCACTGCTGTAAATATTTTAGTGAGAAGTAAAGAAAGAGGCTTGGTATACATTTACTGGAACCCGCTATGTATCTTTGTAAGGATTTTTATGAGTTTTGGAATCCTGCATAGGTATGATAATTCAAATTCATTTTGATTGTTGGGAATATTAAAAATATTTAAAAATATATTTCCCGGTCAAATTATTAATTGGTCCGATAAAAAATATCACGTTATTCAATAAAGACAGCATGAAAGTTTAAAAAAAATAAACTTTACTCACTCATTTCAGAGTACTGCAGAAAAATACATTGCAGAATATACCTTAAAGGACAAACATTAGCTCAGACATTTAATTATAATGAAATTAAAACGAATAAAACGAACCCACTATGTCCCGTGCTTAGTCCTATCACTTTGATATATGCGAGTCAACGACAGAATTAAATGTATCAACCGAGGCATGGTAGAGAGTGTACTGTTGTTTCAATTATGATGACTTTTGAACTTAAAACTAGCTCTCTCTTTTGGGAAATTAAGTGGAGTAGATGAGAACACGTATGAAGACCATATCAAACTAGATATGCTACACATGAAACAAATGCTACACGTTTTACTGCTTTGTTTAGAAGGCATAAGAATGGCAACACTGTTCTTACAAAATGCAAATGAAGTAGATGCAACTTTTGTTGCAAAAATTTTTCTTTACTATAAACATTTTCAAGTAAAGGGTGATTCATCTTAATTAAGGTTAAATGCTTATATTCTTTGCAATCTTATCAATGTAAAAAAAAAAAAATTATTAACATTTGTTTTAAATGAAGGGTCGACAGGGCGTTACATACATTTTACATGAAGGATTGAAAAATTATATTGTCTATTTATTATTTTCTTTGTATAGATATCCTTGTGCCAAATCAAGTAAAACAAAGCATAATTAATGTTTTAGCTGCAGCCTCTCCTACGTAATGTGGGAAAAGCAGTTAAAGGGTTGCATACTCTTTAAAATGTCCTTTTCAAAATTCTACTCGTACATTTTTGTCAAATTGTTTGTACATACGTGATGAGAATAACATCTTAATGATTTCAAAATGCTTATGAAAATTTTCAAATAACTAAGTAAAGATTTTGAATTCAGTCTTCTGATTTATAGCTATAAATAGAATGATGTATAAAGTATTGTAAGTTGTTAAAAAAATCTAACAAAACTTTGCTATTTAGGGCCCCGCGTGAAAATGCGGGAGCCCTTTAGGAATCACATTGTCTTTCCGGTGTAAAAACAAATAATAACCCCCATAGAAAAATGACCGGGAGTCATTTTTAACGTAGAAGAATGCCTTCCACCGTAGAAAAATGTAACTTTTTTGTAGAAAAAGAACCCCAGGGTCAGTTTTCTACATATGCACGCTGTAAGAAATTGATCCCATTTGAAAATGACCCGTTTTCGAACAGAGTGATACAAAGTATAAAAGAGGTAATTAATACCAAGGGTTGGGTCTCAATGTTTAATTCTCTTGCGTTTTTCTGACTAACACAGCTGGACGAATACGCAATGAAAATGTAATAAAAAAGCTTTACATGCGTGCTATCTATTAGGCCTAATGTGTTCTAAGCCCACAATAACAATCGAACAATAGATTTGCACTTTTAACGTTAAGTACTGGACGCAAGGAAAACTACTTTGATCAGTCTGTTGTTTCATTTAATTATTCTTTCTCTTGGTTTTACTTGAACTTTTACATAAATCAGTGTACAATCGTAATAAAAGCTCATATGAAAGATTAATATCTCCCTGCACTTTCCGGTTTACTTGTATTTCTTGACAAATTTAAGGTATCTGGAGCACTCTTCTGTAAAGTGGTACAAAATTAAGCTACTGGTTGGCAGTGTGTCCGTCAAAAAAAGTTTCGACAAAATTATTGGCATACCTTTTGGCAATCAAAACGCCGAATTTTACATCCGTTAAAGAAACCCGCTATATGGTATTTGTTCAAATAGATTTGATGCTACTTTGGACAAGATTTATCTTTTCTTTGAGAAAGGAGAGCATCCAGAAAATCAAAAATGGTACATGTATAAAGCACATGGATCAATGCACTGTGAGGACGATATATGGATATCTGATTAAGGTTTTTTTTTTCATTGTCTCCATTCCTTTGCGGTTTTGGGGGTTTCTTGGAATTTCTACTTGCAGTTTACGTTAAAATTTCTTGAGTCTCCATTTTTTTTTTTTTTTTAATTTATTTTTTTTTTTTTTTTTTTTTTTTTTTTGGCCAAAAAACACTGGATAGTTAATTGATATTTGTTCTGTTGGTTTTAATGAAAATCTTCCAAAAGTTTCTTTAAAATTTTACGTAATTCTTAATTTATAAGATTATGGTTGCTATACACGTGTTTACCTGTTTGTTCACTGTTAAAAATCTGATGTAAAAATAAAACAAGCAGTCAACTGGATTAACCAGTAGATAGAAATTATAAGCATCTCTCTCTCTCTCTCTCTCTCTCTCTCTCTCTCTCTCTCTCTCTCTCTCTCATCGTGATTTATAATTCTTAATCTTTATAACCAAAAAAAGAGAAATGCACCCCATACAAAATCTACAAGGGGTACCTATTTCACGGTGATCATATTTCTTCGCATAGGGTATGTAGATTTTAAGGGTGATGCCATTTTTCTTCATGCAAAGGTCATTTTTTGACGTCGAATACTGACTGGGAGTCAATTTTCGAAACCCAAAATAGTACCATGGCCAATAAGAAGAATATTTACGATTTATTTTTCTCCCTAGTTTGCACTTCAAGACATGCAATCAGAGTTTTAAATATGATAATTTTATTGACGTCATACTGTTGCAGTATACAAGATTTAATTCATTTTTATTTGTTAATTTAAAAAACAAATACATATGATCGTTAAACAGATATGGTTATAATGAAATAATGTGGCCACAGTGTTATTAAGATCAATGTTTAGTCAAAATGATTGACTAAAGATTTTTGCTTTAAAGATACTAATATCACTAATTTAATTAAACAAAAAAATTAAACCGAGGCAGAATTTAATAAAATCGTTGTTGAACATAAACAAACGTATTCAATGAATGAGTTATCTCTCTTAGCAGAGAGAGAGATTCTGATGTTATAGTCCTTGATTTTTCATTAATTAAATCTCCATCCTAGGAGAAATTCCCAGATTGCCCCATTTGGCAGAAAAGAGGTTTTGTAATTCTTGTAATTGTCTTCATTAATTGCAATGATACAGTTTCTTGATAGACACCTCACCATTATAGATTTACTGGAACAGAAATGCTGTTAAATCCCCTCTCCAGTGTTGACATTAACTACAATCAAGCTTAATCTCCTTTAACCCTGTAACTCATGAAATATCGATAAAATAGATGAATTTGATATTTTACATTAAATCATTAATAGGGTGTTAGGTTTGATTCCGTAAATTAACGTAACTATGTTAGATGAAAATATTGACTTTTTTCTTGCTATTACAATAAAACAGTTTTCAAAAACTGTTGAGTTTCTTGTGTCAACAACTTAATGGTAACTCAAAAATTACACACTACATTTATAAAATAATCGTTTAGAAAATAGTGGCTATAAATCCTATCCCTCATTAGTCAGTATTTACCCAGCTCTTAGCTGTATCTTCTAACTGATACTACAGTTATTCAGAATAATTATCAGTTCATCTCATGAGCCTCACCAACTTGCTGAGATAAAGCCTTATCTGTGTTTGCAATAACTTTTTATACAAAGCATGTTTTGTATTTTTAGCTGATTAGTGTCTCCTGTGATTATGCAAGTTTTGTTGAAAAAATGTAATTAAGATATAAAAAGTATTATATGCTGATAAACCTTAAAATTGTTCTATTGCTAATGCAAATTTCGAATTCAAAAACCTAAATAGAGCAATATTTTTTTTAATTCTAAAATACATTGGAGATTATTATGGAGATATATACAGCCCCTGAATTATATATTTATGATCACTATCAGAGCAACAAAAATTATAAGGATTTTTAACTTTATTATGTCATTCTTTTTCAGAAGTCTTCAATATGTACATCATGGTTAAAATGCATATAGTAAGTACGCCATTAAAATGGTGTTTGCTTTCTTTGAGTTAGGTATTTCTGCATGGTGCTGTGAGTTTCCACTTTACGGCGAATACTCTGGATCCTGGGAAATTTGTCTAAAATATTCGGCTGGCCTTGTAAAACGACTTCAAATGCCTCAAAAATAAATATATCCGCAAAAGTGAGCTATAAAGGAAAGGAGACTTCGTTAACCTTCTTTCTACCTTTGCTTGTAGGTTAAATAGTTATGTCATTATCCTAATATAAATCTTTTGTCAAAATATCTTTCTATCAAACTTCAATTTCACATATCAAACCCTTGTGTTATTGTGAAAATGTTCCTACAAGTGTAGCAGGGCTATGTACACAATTTAAAGTCCCAGATTTTTACTCTCTCACCTTTTTGCCAACTGCCCAGCCATCTAAACTTTTGTTAGTGGATATTATTTCATCAATTCGCTTACATGATTTATTCACAGTATCCACAAATTGGGCATTTAATGTCTTCTGTGATTCCTAAATGAAGACAACAGGCTTTTAAATCTAATATGTGATGAAATTAATCTCATAATATAAAATACTACAATGATCTTAAAAAAGAAAAAAAACTGTTGCAAGTATTTTTTACTCTTCTTGGTGATATCTTATTATAAAAAAAATACCTCATCTTGGGGACCGAGATAACACTTAAGGACATTGGCAAGTCAAGGTTTTCCGGAGAAAAAAGGTTTAATACATGGGTTTTTTCACTTATGAAATAGTGATTGAGAGTGATCTCCCGTGTAGAATTCTCTAAGCGGTGAAAACAAATAAAGCGTATGTTTACAGAGGTAAATAAAAGCACGTGTACTTCCTTCAATGGGTAGAATCATCTATACAGCACGAAAGAAAAGTAATAATGGCTTTGTAGTAAATTGTATTCAGGGGACAAAGGAAGCCAACAGGTCGTCATTTACCCTAGTTATGCTCAGTATGCTGGGAAGGGCAAAGATGTGACATATGCTGAAAGGTAGACCGACTGAGATCAGTTCTCAGGTTGTAGGAAGGAAGCAGCATTTAGTAACTACGAATAAAATTTGAAATAAATCCATGCCAATATTTTTATGACAGTGTGTTTCAATCAATTCAGTCAATTACATGATAGAATCACTCAACCAGTCTGACTCTCTTGACCATTATGAATAATTACGTAAATATAGCTGTGAAGGGAAGTAACTCAAAAATAAAGATTGTGCTGGTATGTCCTTGTCTTGTTTCTATATATACATTTTCAGCCAAAATATCTAGAAGTCATAGGAAATGAAGATACAATAATGTATATAATACAAAAACTATATAAAATAAGTGGGTTTTGGAGAAATATTATGGTGAAAAATTATGTAGGTCCCTTTTATCAACATTTTACATAGGAAATGCATTGAGAATTGCAAAAACACTGATTTGACAGAATCTAAAAAAGAAGTCTGGCTTGGTAGGTCAAACATTCCAGAATATAGCCTGTTTAGTACATTTAAACCTACTCAAGAGTTCTTGAAAAATTCTATACTATAACCAGGAACCTTGCCAATGTCCTTCTGCAAGATATGCCGTAATTTCATCTACTTTTGACTTATCTAGTATAGAGTCTCCATCAAGTCCTGAAAATTAAACATCAAGAGTCAATTACATGTATATATTGAAAAGATATATCTTTATTGTTCTAATACCATATTTCTCCCATTAAATTTACATTTGATTAAAAATCATTTCAGCTTCTCCACGAATCTCTTACCAAACATTCTAGAGAGATGTCGAAATATGATAAGACTTTGGGTAAGAACTGTTCCATCTATTTCTAAATATGGGAGAGAGCCTGCTGGAGTTTCTGTTAAGAAAAAAAATACAGTATGCTTCAGTGAAAGTAATTACAAAGGGTATGGATTTGGTAGATAAATGGCAGGAACTTTTCTTGTGTACTGAGTGATGTCCTATAAAAAAAAAATATCAAGTTTGTATAATTTTGAACTAATGCGTACGATTTAATGGAAAACATTTTAAAAAAACGAAGTTTGTTAAAAGTATTAAAAATACAAGGATGTAATGAAAATGTTCAAATTGTTAAAGCAATTTATGTAAATCTAAGTTGATAAATGTGCTTCCAATGATTGTCTGAATTGTTTAACACTTAAACCACACAATAAAAATAAATCCCAATTTCATGTAAGAATATTTTCTTTCTATATGAGAAATATAGACTAAGTGTTCGATGATGTAAAAAAAAAAAAGCTTAAAAATCAATTAACTTAATTTCGACTCTTTTACATGTTTTATGAAATGGAGTTTCTAATTTTGCAATTACAAAAAATCAAGCTGTGCAGAAACACCATGACTGTACATCTTATTTGCTAAACAACTTAACTTACTTGCTTTGTGCTTTGGCCAGTCAGCTTGTGGTATCCTTTCATCCTGGAAAGGTATCCCCGCCATAGCAAATAGCATTCTACCGGGCTCACCCCTCCCTCGAATATCGAAATAATGGTAAACGTACTTTGGCATGCTGACTCTCCGACTTGATAAACTGGACTGAAATTTTCATCAGTCAGTTTAATGATTTGTATATGTTTACCAATTTCGAAATGACCTGGGTGAATGTTTGAACTGTCACAGATGTCCTAAATTTACACTGTGGATTTTTTTCTTTACAAAGACCTAGGGAGAATTATGAAACAATTCTAGAAAATTGCTCCTATTATTTCGCCTGAAAACCCCCATTTTGTACCAAAACTCTCCATTTTTCAAGTTAAATATGAAGAATGCAAAAGAAAATAAAAAGTTCGCTGCACGTTTTACAATACAATTTAATCAAGTGGTGATAAAGTAAAAAGTGACTTTGAAACAGTACTGTTCTAAATTTGTTTGTGTTTAACATCCCTTGAGAATTTTTGTCTCACACTGAGACTCCAACAATTGCCTATGAAACGCTGCAAATTATGACCCAAACCCATTGAGCAGTGAGCGATCATTTTCCTGCCAACTCTTACTGCGACAGGGGACTTGGGGTTTATACAGTCTCGGCAATAGGAACGGTCTCCACGTCCTGCAGCGGTTTCGAACCCGCGACGTAAAGTTCAAATCCCCTTCAATGTTTTCTTCAGATATATTGATAGTGATTTGCATAAGTAGTATAAAAAACCTTTTCCATTTTCATTTTCTTTCTCTACGATTTTTCGAGTTTACCTTATCTTTCCTAACTCTCAAGTAGATGGACTTCATTCATCAAAGGCCCTCCTTAGCTCCAAAACAATTTTGATACAGTGTAATTATATTGTTTATATTGTGGGATCATGGCTTAGATTCAAAACGCAATCCATTCATTATAAATAATTGCTTAACTATTGAACATTTTAAAACTAGAATGGAATGTGGAGTAAAGGAAGAAACATATTCCTTAATTGCTTTCTCTGCAGTTAAAGAGTAGAAATTAAAAAAAAAGAGTCGATTCTCATTTTATTTCTCATTTAATATACCTTGGTAAATACATGATTATAAATGTAAAAAGAACTAATTATATATTCAAAACAAATACATTTAATTTTAATAAACCTACTCAGTTTTAAATAAAACCATTCAGTCTATATAAACTCATTTAATGTTCATGTACACGACTTTCAGGCAAATAATACAAAATTAATGTAATATCCCTTATATCAGTTACATTTTCATTTAAGTAACATCCTTACTTATAAATACATTGTAATGACTAGAAAAATTAGAACGGTGTTTCCTTTCTTTTGCTGAGGTATTCTTGCACCTTTTTGTTGGATTTGACTTTTTGTCTACAGGCTTTGACTTTAGGAAACTTGTCTAAAGCTGTTGGATGATTCTCAACAGTGGATTCAAATGCTTCATACAGCATGATATCCGCAAATGAAATCTGAAAATAAAAATAATAAATAAATGAGTACATTTCTTTGTTCCCTAACAAAAAAAGCATTACAGTAATCTATAGCTTACTATAGTATCAAAGTTTTCACTGTAATAGTAAATTTATCTTTTTTCTATAGTTAAAGTATTTTTTACTATGAATTCCAGATCGTTACATTTTAATTTTTTTTAAGTTCCTGGAAGCAATTTTCTTGCATGGAACGGAAATATTACTTATAAATTTACATATTTCAATATTTTACATCTTGATATGTATTCTAAGATATAATAAGGCCCTAAATCTTCAAAAAACTTCTAGAATAAAATTTCATAGTAAATCAAAGTAGTTACTATAAGTTGACTACAGTAAACTATAGCTAAGTATAGTATTTTTTAAGGGTTGGTCTTGTTATGGCATTTACATTCGGTGAGTCATGTGATCACTTTTACCTTATTGCCGACAGCCCAGCCGTCAGATGATTTATTGCATGACATGATTCTCTCTATCTGAGTACATGATTTCTCTAGAGCTGCCATGTAATCCTCCTTCAGCTTTTTCTGCGATTCCTGTGACCAAATATTAAGCATCGTATAATAGACATGAATGGAGCTTTAAATCAATTTTTGATTTAATAATGCATCTCATGATTAAACTTGGTGAATTTCTAGGTTCAAATTGTTTATTTTATGGAACTCCAAAATTATTTTGTAGATACATGCATAAACATTTCTTTGATTTGTTTGTATATTTATTGGGTATTTGATATGGTCTTATACCTCATCCTTGGGACCAAAAAATACTTTAAATCCGGCTGCTTTAACTTCCACAAGATATTCAACAATTTCTTCCACTCTTGCTTTGTCCAACAGATTTTGTCCATCTAAACCTTTTAATAGAACATTAAATAACGATAGGTAAACACGTTTTTTTTTTTTCAGAACAAACATCACAAAGTAAACTCGTGAACATTTAAATGATCTACTTCTTGGCATATTTTACCATTGTTATTAACTAAGGATATTCTTTATAATGATAGTGATTTATCAAAAAAGAGAGTAAAGGGTTATTTTTCACTATTTTCATGTTCGAGTAAATTATATTATGTCATCGACCTAACAAATCCAATGTATTTAATTTTTTTTCAGCATTGTGAAACATTTCTGGCTTGGCATATAAGTAATTTGCCTATTACAAAAAGTTCTATATTTCGACTTACCAAGAGTCCTCGCTATATGTCGAAAAATGACCAGACTTTGAGTGATAGGTTGACCGTCTATCTCGAGAACAGGTAATGATCCACCGGGAGTTTCTGGAATGAATTAGTTCCACAAACTGACAAGAATTAATTCAAAAAATAAAAAGCATATACAAAATGCACAAGCTGAATATCACTAAAAGGCGCAAAATGTGAATATTTATTTTAATTCTAACGAACCTTACCAATTGTCTCAACTTGATTATGGTTGAAATTTTCAAAAAAATTACAGGTTGTATATACTAATACCTACTTGGTTTAAGAGCTGGCCAATCCTCTTGCTTGATTCGACGGTCCTCGAAAGGTATTCCAGCCACAGCAAAAAGCATCCTTCCGGGCTCCCCCCTACCCCGTCCGTCAAAGTAAGTAAACACGTATTTAGGCATTGTATTGATGTTCCGTTCCTTAACACGAATGAGGTCAGTTAGTCGATACCGTGCTTTATATACCCGATCTCGATTTGTTCTTAATTTTGACCATGGAAATCACATGTTAAGTCCATTATTTACCGTATTCTTCAAACAAATAATTATGATCAATTTGATCAATGCCTACAATTATTGACACTATCTCATTCACGGTCAAGGCTATTCTTGAATGAAAATTATTTATTTTCCAGGTTTTTAAATCTCGATTTATTTTTCAATTTTCCTTTTCTTCTATTAAGTCATATCTCCAATTTCTTTAAAGTTTCATTATACATGTAATTTAAATGTCTAGAGGTGTTTCATGTGATCAGCAACAAATCAGAATTTACATGATCCTTCACATTTGAATGAATGATTACAATTTGAAACTATTTTTCCGCGTACAAATTTCATCACAAATTACTTTCCTATCTGAAATCCATTGTATTTTGGCATTGTCAATTAATGATGTTAATTAAGCTTAACATCTAATTTGCATGTATCTGATCTTTAATATCTTTCAGGAAAATTCAAAGAATTATAAACTTTGTACTCATCGTTGTATCAGACTGAAAACTTGACTGTTTTGGAGAGGAAATTATTAAAGTATTGTTATTATTATTATTATTATCATCATCATCATTTTATTATTATCATCATCATTATTATTTTATTATTTTATTTTTTTTATTTTTTTTGGTAATTTCGTTCAACCAATTTGTGTGACCATTAAAAGAGTGAGAGAACATTGCATCGAAGATACTTTATTTTACGAGATGATTGACTTCTTGAAGTTAGTTTTGCCACTCGATTACTAAAGCAAATGCATTGAATTGTTAATTCATAGTACTTATTTATTAAAGCAATAAAAGGTCAGAACACGCATGCTCTAATTGTTGTTAGTTGTAACGAACAATGAACTATACTACATGTAGCTTGCATAATAAACACTTAATTATTAGTTTGTAAGATTGTAGTTATAAATATCGGAATATTGATTCCCTGGCTTGAGTTGGTGAATGGAAGTGGAATGGTCTTCTGTATATATGTTATTTAATGATTTATATTTACTTGTCCACTAGTTTCGAAATACCCTGGGTCAAACTTGACCTTTTAGCGATGTTCTTGATTTAAGCCATTTTCAATTCCTCTCGGTGACCAGTGTAATACGACCTGATCATGTGTAAATAAAATGTTCAGTACTGTTCCCTTGCGTAATGTCATAATAGATGAATATCGGCTTAGTCTTCTACATGTTCCAAGAAACTGAACATTGTCAAAGTTAAAATTTAAAAAAATAACTTAAAAATATACGAATTTTTAGGAGAAAATGACAAATGGTACAAGATGTCATGATCAGGGGGAGATACTTTACCACTTTCGTCACTATGATGTCAAAAACTACGACCCTTAGTTGTGTTGCTACTAAACACTACAGGTGTTTGTTTTCAACTTAAAAAATGTAAATATTCATTTTAATTCAATAGTTTTCAGTACTAGGAAGACGCGCACTTACACAAAATAATTTTATCTAAACAAGCAATACAATAAATAGATAAAACAAAAATAAAACAAAACCAAAAACCAAATCGGTAGAAAACAGAAATTCAAGAAACTGTGAATTAAACCTGTTTGGAGCAAATCTTTACAAAGTTTTTGTAAATTAAAATGTGCATTTTCAGACCCCCAACATTTAACTTAAATACTTTTCGCATGTAGACTATCATTTTAGTCAAGTAAAACTTTGAAGATAAAAAAAACAAACGTTGTAAACACAAATATTTGCACAAATCGAGTCTTACGGACAACCGATCCTTTAAGGTTTTTCAAACCTTTTGCTTGAACTCGAGAGGATGATGAGCTCGAAATTTCCTTCTCCGAGAAAAAAAAAACACATAGGAAATATACAACGATCGAGAGCATAATCTGAAATCCGTTTCTTTTTTCTTCAGTTTGTATGTTACTACCAGTAGTTGTGTGTTCAGAAATAAACATAAAGCATGTAATAGATCATGTAAGTCCACCTTTCTAATGAAAAATGTGACCAAGGTTACGTTATCTTTTCTTGTTAAACACAAATGTAAAAAATTTCATTCATCATTGGACCTACTTAGCTTCAGAACAATTTTTATACAGTGTACATTGTAGACATTAAGGAAATTTAATGACTTAGACCCCAACAATTTAACGCATTATTCATATTAATAACTTTTGACAGTTTTTTTTATTCAAGATTCTTTTCGTTTAAATTCATATTGATATGTTACGAAGATATCGAAGCTCAAGGAAAGGTGTAGCTTACACAGCTAACCGAAGCCATATCTCCTCACCTAAAGACGTTTGTGAGTAAAAGGTTTTTTTATCGGTCCTTTAGTAATGTACTATAAAAATAAAAAGATGAGTTCAAGTACAGATATATCACTTTTTAACAATAACTTGTAATTCAATTGAAGATAATAAATAAATACAAATTTAAGGTAAAGCTGAGATGTATTTAATAGTCATTAAGTACCTGCATCTATAGAGTACCATGTTTAATAATAATGACTAGAAAAAAATAGAATGGAGTTGCTGGGAGTATTCCGTCTCCTTAAATATGAGTCCATGCTATTGCTGAAAGATCATAATTTTAGTAAACTTGGCTAAACCTTATGAAATTTATCTCAAAAAAATGTAACGACAGAATTAAGTAAATGAAACAAAATATAAGAAAATTACATGTGAAAACTATAGAGGTACTGTAAGCTCTGAGCTCACAAAATTATACCCCCCCCCCCCCTACCATATGAGTATAATAGAAAAGTCCATGTTTTGCTATGGGGAGCCTTCGATCAGAACTTAATATAGCAGGTGTACAATGGCACTATGTAAAACAGATTCTGTGAAAGTCTCCGTAAATTGTATTCAGTGGTATAGGAGGAGTTTCGGATAAGAGATGGGTAACCCCGTATGTTATAGAAAGAATGTTTGTGTCCATATTTTGCTATGGGTAACCCTATTTATCTGCTATATCGAAAATGAAATAAAAGGTCACAATGGCAGTATGTAATAAAGCTTCTATGAAAGTCTCAATAAATTTTATTCAGTGGCATAGAAGGAGTTGCGAATAAGAGATGAGTACCCCATGTTTTAGAAAGAGTGACAGTGTCTATGTTTTGCTATGGATAACCCCATTTGTCTGCCTGATCAAAAAATGAATATGAGGTGCACAGTGGTCCTAACTAATAAAGATTCTTAAAGTATTATTAAATTTTATCCAGTGGTATACATGTAGGATAAGATATGGGTACCCCCAAGTGTTACGGACGTACGAAAAGCCATACGGAAGGGTGTACGTAAGGACGGACACCCCCATTACTATATATACATGTTTCTCCCGCTTTTCAAGCAGGGGTATAAAAAAATATTGGAACTGTTTGAAGTAAACTTTGTCAGCTCGCAATCTTGAAATAATTTTAGTACTTTGTCGCAAAGTGGATATCTATAGCCTTATACTCAAACCACTTCTTTAATCTCCATGGCTGTTTTAACATAACTTGTTCTATCCCAATGAGTTTGTTGTCTTTATACGACCTTCGTTTTAAGGCTAATCTGTCTATCATAACCTTGTTGCCGACAGTTTAGCTCTCTGGCGAGTTTTACATTACGTGATTAACTCTCTAAACACATGGTTATTCTAGTAGTTACGAAGTGAAATCTTTCACAGTCCTTTTTTTTCTTGAGATTTTGGTGCCACTCATACTGTAATACTTCATATACATAGATGTAAAGGGAATGTATTAGAAGACAACAAAATGAATACGATTTGTCTGTTTCATAGTCTTTTTTAAGGTAAAGGACAAGATAGGCTAAGACCCCTTTTTGGCCCCTGGTTTGGGGTGTCTTTTAGAATGATGCAACAGTTTATCAATAAAAACCTGTTGTCACCCCTGCCACAAAATAATCATTGGTTCCAAGTTACGGGATATACAGAGGTCACAGAAAGGTCAGGAAATATGTCAATTTCCGAATTTTCTCATTTTTATGCAAATTTTCATCGATTTTACAGCACATTTCGTTTCAGAAAACATAGAGCACAAGCTTGCCTATCTACCAAATTTATATATTTCAAACACTAGTATCAGAAGCATCTTATATATAAAATCTCAGATAGGCAAGCTTGTGCTCTATGTTTCCCGAAGTGAAGAGTATCTCAAATTTCACGAAATTTCACCAGAATAGAGGAAATTCGGGAAAATGCCCTACTTCTGCACTCTCTTGTGGCCTCCGTATAAGCTTTGAATCAAAATTAGTGCTGGTTTTAAAACAAACATCATTTTAAGTTCTTAACTACAAACTATCACAATTTTAACTGTGTTCTGATTTTTACATCAAATAAGGGGCCAGATTCGGCCGTTACCATACCTTGTCCTTTGTATATTTAAGATAAATAAAAATGAGTTTGCCGTTTTGGAAAATGTAACTTCAAGTATATACAATATTAATACATATTTGAGCAGTAGTGCAATGTAAATATAATTTGCTAGTATACTAGTAAGCTCTTTGTATGTTTTTGTCTCATTCGAACCAAAAAAAATTCTTTAACTGGCTGCCTTAATATCGGAAACATAAATTAAACAAAATGTTTTCCACTCAGGATTTGTCATTCGTATTCTTTCTATTAGCCTGAAAATGGGTTTTAAATATTTATAGGTAACCAGGCATAATTGACCACGTCCTTATGTTCACTTATCACATGGACTTTCAAAGTTCTATATCATGACCATAACGCCATTCTTTTTAAAATCTTAAAAGGAGCGAATACATTAATAATTTTTGTATTTAAACTTACTACATGTTCTGAACTGACTTCTTTTAATAACTAGTCTATATTTTTGTTTGGCCTCACGGTTCTGCCACAGCAGGGTTCTCCACAGGTATTTCTGCCAAAGCTAAAATGTTCTCCTAGTAGACGACCGTCAAAGATAGAGGCATAATTATACATAGTGTTGATGTTTAGTCCTCTTAAATGTGAGTGAAAACTGTTGTTGATGTTTCATTTCGACCATAAATATTTGATCCAGAAAACCTCCAAGGTTGTGGAAACTTAAACATTAATGGTTATTATAATTTAATGATGTCTTTTTTTTTTATCTATCCCGTGTTTCATTTTTCATTCATGAATACCAGGAAAAGTAGATGGTTAACCAATAAGATTTTCAGTTTTTGTTTCATGTACCTACCTTATTTCAAATCTTCCTTTCTTTGATCAAGGCACGTTTTCAAATGATTATAATTCTTGTAAAATAACATTCACTTACAGCTCTAATTAAAATTACAAATTGTTGTCTTCAGCAAAATTTTTCACAGTTATTGCACAAAAATATTTCTAAAGTTTAAAACCTATTAGTCCTTATTTCTCAATAACGATTAAAAATCTTTTAACTCTTGATTTATAACGAGTTTTGTGAATTAAAAGGTACGATGTACTTTGTATTCATCTCGAAATAAAATTAAAAGCAATGTTCGTTTTTCAATTGTTGGTAACTGTTCTGATTTAAAGGGAACATAAATTCAAGCTATGTATGTTAAGCATAATGAGAAGATATAAATTAAGAGAAAGATATATTGTACAGCTATATTACTGCTTTTGATGTCAATACGGGTATTAAGCTACCTGGGAGTACAATTTTCACCTAGCCCTAAGGGAGTGGTGAATACCGTGAAACCATTAATTTGCGTTTATTTTCGTTGTATTCGTGGTAAGAAGAGATCCACGATCGAATTCATGTCCGCCAAGAAATGTAAAAAATTTAATCTGAAGAACTTGACACTTCTTCAGCCACGAAATCAAATTCCACGAACCAATAATTTTTCCTCAAATCACAAAATTTGACCTCACGAAAATAATTGATTTAACCTGTCAGTATTCATTTTTGAAGGTTGCTAAATCATTGTATTGACCAATAAATAGCTATGATTGTTTTATGAAGCAATTAAGCGATTCAAAGATTAAATAATAAAAACTTGCTTAATTAGCAAACTTTGCCACTTACCCGAAAGCTGTGTGAGACGAGAGCATTCCATAGGACAGCAAAAAATTAACATAACAAATCAAACCAATTAGGAATTAAAATCCCAATCTTTTTTAATCCAGTGTAGAAAAAAAAAATATGTGCAAGTTTTGTTCACCTAAAAGGTACAGATGACCATAATTTTTATGATTTCTACAGAATGATGGATTTCAGCCAATCAGAGAGTAAGAATCGTTCAATCATTTTATCATGTTTATAATGCTATTTCATTTATATCATTGTTGTCACTGTACATAACAAGATAACAATGATAGATAACACTCATATATTTGTATAAATATGTTTAGATTCAAGGCACTAAAAAGCAGAAATCAAAACAATGACATGTAACCATTGACTGAGGTGAATCGTTGTTAGTCCAAATTGTTCGTCCTAAATTAAAATTTATAAATTCCACAAAAATGGGGGGAATATTATTCAAAGAGCGTGGAGCTTGGGAAAAAAACGGAAAAATTATTACTGTATACTAGTATATACATGTACCTACAGGGACATACAAGGTCGGTGAGTTAAAACTGATATCAATAATCGTTGAAAATGCATTAATAAATTGTTTGGAGGTTTAAAAAATATTCATGAAAAAAATAGACAAGATCAAATGTTGGAAAACAATATGGACATGTAATACGTTTGTTGTTGGGTTTTTTTTCTTATTTGAAAACGGTTGTTTTGCGATTTTCCCCGTAGTCCATAGTATGGTGTACAACAAAAGCAATCAAAAAAATTTCCTAAAATCTTTATTTCTCATAAATTTCAAAGAAAAACAAGATTTCTACGTACTATTTTGCTGATGAAAAATAAATAGAAACATTAGAATCTAGTATGTTTCCGTTTAGAGAGATATATCTTTAGGTTTTTGTTTGCCTCTAATTTTTGCCGACAAGACTTGATTTTTGGAAAATTGTCTAAAGCTGACGGACTTTGTGCAACAATTTCTTCAAAGGCCTCAAACAGCATGATGTCTGCAAATGACATCTGAAAAGAAGAAGCAGAAGATATTTCAATCTCTTCACCTACTATTTTCCTGGTTGTCTATATAATTCTTAAACAAGGTCTTGTATAAATACATGTGCAACTATCCAAAAACACGGTACTTTTAAGAAAAATAATGAAGAAAAATGTATTACAAGTTGAGAAAGAAAACTCGAATTAAAATATAATAAAGTTTAGGATAACGGTCCTTTTTAGATTTCCTTCCATTAAGGGTTACAGCTGTATAAGCAACTGGCTTTTTAATCGAGTTCAATCTCTCTGAAAAATATTGTTTCAGATACAAAGTATGAGATGAAGAATACCGCATTTTTTTTAGTTTAAATGTGGAGGGCTATCCATTCAAAAAGAGACTACCTTTTACCTGTAAGATCAAACATTGAACCAATGAGAATTTTTGGAATAGAAATCTTTGTATCCTTACCCTTTTACCGACGGCCCAGCCTTCTGGTGATTCGCTATATGACATTATCCTTTCTATCTGAGTACATTTTTTGTCCAGAGCAAGCTTATAATTTTCTTTGATCTTTTCCTGTGATTCCTGTAATTTAATATTTGATAAATGCTTAAGATACACAATTTAGATATGTTTTCCCATTATTCTCCATCGCTTTAGAGTATTTACATACTAGTAATCTCTCTCTCTCTCTCTCTCTCTCTCTCTCTCTCTCTCTCTCTCTGATAAAAGAGGATTACTAATTAATTTATCATTTATCTATAAGGGTAAATTGAAAGTAAGAGCAGGATCAAGTTACTGTTATTATAGTATAGTGCATATCATGATAGGTTCACTTATATGTATGAATTGATAGCATAACAGTTTGCTTTTAATGATTTTCTTCTTAGAATACCTCGTCCTGGGGACCAAAAGCAATTTCAGACCAAGCAGTTTTTACTTCTATCAGATATTCCAAAATTTCTTCAACTCTTGCTTTGTCCAATATGGTTTCACCATCTAGACCTATGAATCGATATCAATTAGTTTTTGAAAGAAAAAAAAGTGATTCTAAGATTAATAACTGATACTAGAAGCTTTTTGCATGAAAGTAGATTTTAAAGAAAAACTAAAAAACACTGGTCCGCTTAAAATACGTGTAGTATGAGATGCCATCTGGTCTATTCGACTTTACAGCACTTGAGTCAGTCGGTCGTAAAGTTCTGAACTTATCAATTTTTTTTCTGGAACCAATATTGGTGGACTTCACGGTCTCTGCCTCTTTCGAGTCTGAATGGCCAAATCCTCAAAATTAAATCAATCTTTAAAAATGTTCATTCTATACTCCTGGACATCCAGAAGTTAAAGTGCAGTTAGCGTGATTTTAAGAAACAAAGGATTTAGGCTCCGGGGTTGGTCATATAATGAAAATGCATTATTCATTTAAAAAAGGTTAAGATAACGAACAGGAAATGATCTCAAAAAGCCTACAAACAGTTCAAATCCATGAACAGTGCATAAAACACGGATCCCCGGAAATTCCAGAGGTGGAATCAGGTGCCTAAGAGGAGAAAACATCTCCTGTCACATCCACCGTAAGCCTTATGTATTGAACATGTAGACGGAATAATCCGTAGTAATTTAGTATGAAAACAATGGCCTACCAATAATTGGTATGAAACATGTCAGTCAAAATACGACCCAGTGATAGGTTGTAATTACAAAGAAGTCCATTATAACGACCATAGAATTTACGAAATGCTGACTTTACACAAGGTTGTTGAAATCCCTGTAATATTAACTTATTTGTCAGTAACATGTCTCGATTTGAAAATTGATCATACTCAGAACATGCTCTTGAGTATCGAATAAGTTTGGAGACATAAAGAGTATATGCTGGTAATAGTGCAATATTACTACATATATAAGTAAAGTTCACAATGGCAGAAATCATCTCTTTTGTCATAGAATTTAGTTTTTAGTTGGCCCTTATCATCTAAAGTCACTAAAACATCCAAATATAAAACATGTGGCAGACTGTGGTGTCATTTATTTCGAGTTCATTGGGATATATTGTGTCGACATATGAATGGAAATAACTAAGACCATGTATTTAGACAGTCCTCGGCAAACTGTAATTTTTTGTCAAATATATCCAGACTTGTTCAAGGTGGGCCGAAAGTGCTTATAGCCTGAAAATCTCCTGATACTCAGGTGACTGTTAAGACCCATGGGCCTCTTGTTTTTGTTTTGTTTTGTTGTTTTTTCTTCTTCTTTTTTTTTTTGTTGTTGTTGTTGTTGTTGGGTTTTTTTTTTTTTTGTTTTTTTTTTCCGTTAAAGCGTTAAAGAAGTTATTTTTCTTTGAGAACTCCTTCCAAACATCACATCATCATAATTTTTATCTAGGAGTATATAAATCCTACCGAAAGATCGTGCTAGATGACGATAGATGACTAGGCTTTGGGTAATAGTTTGTCCATCCTTCTCCAGAATTGGCAGTGATCCAGCAGGAGTTTCTGAAATTAAATTTAAAAAAAAAAACTTTCAACTACTGCAGCATAAAGTGTATATTACCTTTCGTAAATATCTACGCAAATTCTCATCAATTCTCTCTCTTTCTTGTTTGTTTGAGTACATTAAGTTTATGCCTGCAAACAAAGGTTAAAGTGAAAGAATTTAAGGATCTAAAAATCTTACAATATTAACAAGCAGAATGAAGACCTTTGGGTTGTAGTTCCAGAGAAAAAAAGTCACAGACACATGTATAGTTTGGTGGAACTAAAGAGATAATAAAATCATTACCATTCTATTTTCATCGTTTTTGCGACAGTATATTGATTTACAGCATATATATGGTACCATAGTATATTTCTCTTACAATTCAAGATAATGCTATTAAAAAGCAAAAACGTGAATCTTACACTGAAAAATAAAGATAAAAAATCCGTTCACACACACCCTCACACACCCACACCACACACAATTAATAAAGTAGAATTATTCGGGATCACTCACGTGATTTAAAAACTGACCAGTCTTCTTGTTTGATTCGACGGTCCTCAAATGGAATTCCTGCCACTGCAAAAATCATCCTCGCAGGCTCCGCTCGACCTCGGGCATCGAAGTAGGTTAACACGTATTTAGCCATTGCACTGTAAGTGAAAGGCTTCTATTTCGTCTTTTCAACTATGATCCAATGCATGCTCTCAATATTGACCATTTAATTTAAAAGTGGTAGCGCATGAGTAATCTCTTTAGTGATATATAAGTGGATATTTAAAGAAAATTTAATAAACAAGACAAAAAATTGCCCCGCGAACAGTACACCAATGAGTTACCTTTATGTGCTTTATTTTCCGGTGTTTCGAAATTGCACAAGATTATTCGTAATTCTTATAATATATGTAATATGTTGCTATCTTGCCCGTGAAATACGATTTTAAAAGAAAGAAACTCGTGATTTTTGTTGCGAAACCATTGAAATGCTTGGTTAAACATCTTATCAAATTTTGTTTTAATTTGTGTTCTGTATAAGTTTTTCTTCAAACTGATTAACGAGGATTTTGAAATTTTAAAACAAGTAAAGTGTCATAGCAAGCTAATATCGACAGCTGTACATTTGCCACGTGTACATGTTTGTCTAATCACAACAGATATTATTAATTTTATGATTGTCCAAGTGATAGATGTGGGTGTGTGTGTGTGTGCAGTTATTGTGGATTCAATGAAAAGACATATATACCAAGAGAAAGAGGCCATTTAGGTCAAGGCCCAATCACAGATATTTTGAACACAATTTGAAAAGTTTCAGCATTTATGGTCTAAAACAAGAGTAGGATTTTGCTAAGATTCTTGTCATAAATTGAGCTTTTCCATGCAATTCAAAATATTAGGTAATCAAAGAAGAAATCATTGATTTTTAAGCTAAAAGGTCGATATTTCTATTGTGTATTTAATTATTCAAAATAAAAGATACCATATACATGTACTTGCCGCACTAGATGGCCGTGAAAGGAAGCCCAATATATATACCAGGATTCTGAATACAGTCCCGCTTAATTAGGCACTTATTAAAATGTTTGAAATGTTTTGCAATTTTTAAAAAAACAGTGCAGGTTTCTCTGCCACTTGTTTTCAGTGTTTTGACTCTAATTTTTACTAGTTGGCTCCTGATGACAGAGATATCATTACCATGGCATTTCATTTATCTGATGTGTGTTTTAAGTTATCATCGTCTAAATTGCAGACTCATCGAATGTACACGTCTGACAAGTCACCTGACCTTTTTCTACACACACGTCCAATTTTCCCCTCATCACAAGTTCAAAACTGCATGTGTATGTTGATCTTTCCTTTTACTTTCAATACACAAGATTGTTTTAAAAATACTGTACATTTTTCTGTTCCGGTAACAGTAGCCTGAACTCCTGCGGCACTGCATATATCCTTGATCAACGGCCAACAGGTCTACTGCTTTCTATTCAGAGACAAGCAAGAGTCGCAAATAGCACATAATACAAGTAGTGTTATGTGTAAACATTTTCAAGACTGCAGTGGCAATATACACAGAACTCCATAATGACAAATACATCATTCTGCAAGTTTCTCTCTTTCCATTAAAATGTATTAAGTGTGATTTGAAGTTTGGTATACCTAGATAGCCAACACACTTTGTTATAGGTGCATGTAAGATTCTTGCTTAATATTCATGAGAGGCCATTCGATCACTTTTTGAACTCTCTGAATAAGCAAGAGTTAAAGTAATGCATGCTTAATAAAAACAAAAAAAATAATTATATATATTTCTTTTATTTCGTTTGGTTAATATTCATATTCATTAAATTGTATAGTTCAGTCTCGCGTACAGTAACACAACAAAAAAGTAATTTATATGCATTCGATAATTTACATCAATCATGAAGAATAACCTTAAAAGTTTATTTGTTTTTTTTTTAAATTTATTTATTTATTTTAATGATTTAAATTAATTTAATTAACTATAAACATTAGAATGGCGTTTCCTCCCTCTTGCTTACATAATCTTTCAAGTTCTTATTTGCCTCGGCTTTCTGTCGACAGGCTTTGATTTTAGGATATTTATCTAATGCTGATGGATCTTGTTTGAGAGTTCCTTCAAAAACCTCAAACAACATGATGTCCGCAAAACTCATCTGCAAAAAACATACGATTTTCCATGTAAATACATTTGTAAGCTTATAATTAAAGTATACGTTTACATCCTAACATACTTTGAAGAGATTTTAGCTAAGTTACTGTAAACGTACTTATTTTTGCGGTAATCATAATTCAGTGCCTTATGCTCTGCTTCATGTCAGCTAATTCATATAAACACGCTAACAAAAGAAAATCCAATACCGATCGTTTTGAAGACAGAAGTGCTATTAGTGCTATTAATGATATAATATAATAGAAGTGCTATTCCTGATTGCGCTAATCAGTTGAAGAGGAAAATTCATTTAGGTAAATTTTGTGTGCACTAATTTTTGTACGTTTACAGTATATAATAATATACAATCTTTTGTAATTTAAAAATGTTTATAAGAAATCGAAAGCAGTCAATTCCTTTTTTAACCACTTTAAGAGAGAAATTGTTTGATATTTTACATGTAGCGAGTTGCAGTGTTTACTTAGATAGATTATTTTCCTTACCTTTTCGCCGACAGCCCAGCCATCTTTTGATTTGTTGGATGAAATAATCTTTTCTATGCGATTACATACATTATCAAATGTCTTCATACAGCTCTCCTGGAGCTTTTTCTTCTCCTCCTGTATCAACATACAAAGTACATGTGTGATATATAACTGTTATAAATGGTAAACGGATTTCTTGAGGGAGGGGGAAGGGGGTAACTTAAAATAAAACGCGTGAAAATAATGTTTGTTTTTTTTTTGAAAACTAAGCAATATTGAGAAAAATTAAATATGGATTAGTTGAATACCTCATCCTGGCAGAAAGCAACTTTGAAGCCAGCTTCTTTAACTTCGGTGAGATTTTCAACAATTTCTTCAATTCTTGCTTTGTCCAAAAGAGTTTTACCATCTAGACCTGTAGATTAAAGAACAGTTAGTGCTTACTAGCAATTTATGAAACCTGTACCACAATCATTATTAGTTATAAAAGTTTCGGTTTTCTCTCAAATATACAATATATATTTTACAATTTTTAGTATTTACATATCAGGGCACGATTATATGCAATTTATGACAAATTTTCATCTAATTCTTCTTTCAACTGGGTTAAACGATCTTAAACTACAATGCTTCATAAAATATCAAAAACCCGCAGTTACATGTAAATAATGAGACCTACCAAAACACCTTGATAGATGGCGAAAGATGACCAAACTCTGAGCAATAGATTCACCGTCGACCTCCAACACTGGTAATGATCCAATTGGAGTTTCTGAATAGAAAATGATACGTGCATTATTCTGCAGCCAACTCTCTCTCTCTCTCTCTCTCTCTCTCTCTCTCTCTCTCTCTCTCGTTATTGACATTCATATACACATGTGATTTTAAGTTACAGTTTGAAGCATAATGTGTTAAAAATGGTTACACAGATTACTAAATTATAACATTCTAGTAATTGTGTCAACTGAATGTTTATAATTACTCATCCAAAAACAAACAAAAATTAGAGCAGGGGAGTGGATGGTTTTCAAGCAGTGTTATTCTATTAAGTGGTGTGAAATTGCTTCTACATGGTAAAAACGGTAAAAACAAACGGAAGGGAAAGAGACAGAGAAATCAAGAGATATGTTAAATAAATATTATAAACCAATTAACCCCAAACTCGCCATCCTCCAAGGAAAATCAATTTCATAATAATGTTGTAGATTTTCATAAAAATTTTTAAAAATTGTCATTTTGACTGCATGAAAGTTCAATAAACAAGCTTATTCAGAGAATTTGTGTCCCCCGCTTAGGGAAAAAAGAACATGCGCAGTTCGGGGGGGGGGGGTCGTTGGACTCCCCCCCCCCCCTTGATTTGTAGAATTATTAAATGTATACATGTATATTGACGCAAACAAAAAATGCCAATATGGATATAAAGATTTGATTGCTTAATCTTTAATATGTGTATAGAAGATTCTTTTTGTATAGAATATTTATCACACTGTAATAATGATTTTTTGAGTTTGTGCAAGCCAGACGTCGATCATAACGTTTTCATTTCACATGCTTAATACTATCATTTATATAGTAAATCCAAAAACAAAATTTCAAAAAAAAAAAAAAAAAGGATCGACCGGGATTTGAACCCGGATCCTCTCACATGCTAAGCGAGAGTCATAACCCTAGACCACGGATGCACTTGATTCAACCACGGATGCACTTGATTTAACAGCAAATTAAATGCAAACATTAGATCACATATAATGTTTATATATTCACGTTCGATATTGTCAAAATTTTACACAATACATGGTGTCTAATTTTAGCCTTTAATAAACAGTACTAACAAATGTAATTAGAATATAAAAACCACCGACAACCTGTATTATACGTAATAACTCTCCACGTGCCCCTGTGCTAAAAATATTGCCAAGCGACTATTAATACAATAAAAAAAAACGGGGCGGGATACTTTGAGAGGGGCGAGAGAGGCCATAGGGAGTTATGGTATAAAATTTCATTGCAAAAGCTCAAAAGCTTCTTGAGATATCGCCCGGAAACGAAAGTGTTACACACAGACGGTATGTATGAATTTATGACCTTGAACTTTGACCTTTTGACCTCAAAATCAATAGGGGTCTTCCTTAGGCCACAGGGAGTGGTTATGTAAAAGTTCGTTGCAAAAGCTCAAAGGATTTTCGAGATACCGCGCGGAAACGAAAGTGTTAAAACAGACAGAATTAATTAATTTATGACCTTGACCTTTGACCTCTTGACCTCGAAATCAATAGGCTTCTTCTTTAGGCCATAGGGAGTTGCTATATGCAAAATTTAATTGCGAAATCTCAAAGGGTTCTCGAGATATCACGCGGAAACGAGAGTGTTATAGACAGACAGAAATACAGACGGACGGACGGACAGATAGACCCAAATTAATATCCCCCACTTTCAGTGAAAGCGAGGGACAATAAAAAGTAGCATTTCTTATAAATACTTACTTGGTTTAAGAGCTGGCCAATCTTCTTGTTTGATACGACGGTCCTCAAAGGGTACACCTGCCACGGCAAATAGCATTCTTGCGGGCTCCGCCCGACCCCTGGCGTCAAAGTATGTATATACGTATTTAGGCATTGTACAAGCGATGAGTCCTTTAACACGAGTGTAGACAGTTCGTGGTTCCTGGGCTTTATATACCCGTGTATGCTCTCATTTCTGACCTCACACAGATGTTTTTCTAACTCATTTTTCGCATGATTGATTTTTGATATTACACACACATATTTATATATACACACACAAAAGATGCATCAATTTAATAACTCGCGCAAATATAAGTTTTACAGTGGGTCTGTACACAGAGAATATGTAGATCTTCCTAGTGTAATCTATTACTCTGCATGACCAATTTCATTATTTCGAAATTGCAAAAATCATGAATTATTTTACAATGTCGGCGTTCTTCATTCCTCCTTTCTGATGAAAATATGTGGTGAACTCTATATAAAACATTATGATGAAATGCTTCATTCTTCTTCGTACTTCCAAAATTACGATCGTGGGACCGAAAACAAATGTTCTGGCATTCATTCTTTCACAAAAACAAGTAAACAAGAAATAAATATTTTATCCTGCATCTATAACCCGTCAAAACTTTTTGATGTGCCACATACAGTCTTTATATCCGCAGCCTTAAGGTTTATATTTTTTTCATAGATTTTATGAATAAGAGCTAGGCATATTACATTTTCAGCTATAATCTTCTTTTCTCGATTATGTGGACACGATAGCAATGTCCCCTCACATTGACGTTGAGCATTAATTCGGCCATTTATTAATTTATTGACCAAGAAATCTGAATTTTGAGTGAAATATCATATTGCGTTTAATTAATTCACCAAAGAGAAACCAAGACTTACTAATATGTCACATCGATTGAATATCAGGTTTTATACACGTATATACTCGATGGAAATTTGATATGCCTATTTTTTTCTTTGATCTATCGTAGAAGTGATTTTATCAATACTGTATACGTGTACAAAACGTGAAATAAGTAGGACACAATCCACGAGTCGCCCTTAAAGTAGAAAGAAAAAAACGTGTTTCACCTGAACAGTGAATTTAAATGCCTAAATTTAAATTTTAGGGATTTTGAAATATATCTAATTATATAAAAATATGGTGAAAGTTCTAATAAATAACTTCGGCTTGGTTTCCCCTTTCCAGTTTTAAATAGACCATCATCCATCAGCGCCATCATCTGTTCACATTACATGGTTAAATTCATATTTTACCACTAGTACTGTTTTTCAATAACCATGCCAAGTTATATTGTTTAACCGGGCGATTTCCTTTATACATTAATATATACTGTAGTGTTATGATATATTGGGCAAAACTCGTGTATGAAAAAGAAAATAAAGTGTGTACAATTGCATATTTGTATCTGGGTACACAATATGATAAAGGTGAAGTAGCAAACCCCTGGGTTTCCTTTGTTCAAAGTATTTTTGAAAACAGTTACCGTGGTTTATCAAATGTATGGTATGAGCAAACTCTTCATAATATGTAAAATGGATAACTGCAACAATTCAAACAAAGGTTAAAAGATCAATATATTCCAAAGTGGAATAGTGAAGTTTGGAAATCTTCAAAAAGTGTACATTATATAATTTTTAAAACCAATTTTGAGTAAGAAAAGTACTTTTCTCTATTATCATGAAAATTTAGGAAAACTTTAAAAAATTAGAATAACAAATCATCATCTCCCATTCCAAAAAGGTATTAATAGAAATGAACGACTTTGTTATTTGTGCGATACTAAAATGATAGGAGATGAATATCACCATATTTTAAAATGTAATGCTTTAGGATATTTGAGGAAAAATTTCTTGGGCCAGAAATTTTGTTGTAGGAGTGAAGGAGAAACCTCAGGAGTATTGTACAACAATATATTCGAGAAGTGGTGTAAATCAGATGTAGAAACTTAAAAACTCCAAAGAACCTTTAGAAAACTTGATAAAATTTTTACCAAAATGATTAACATTAGAACGTTAGACATTTCAACACTTTATACAACCATTCAAAACGATAAATTAAAGCCAAGTCTTTTTAACATCATTGGCAGCTGCTTTTTCAATAAAAATGGAACTTGTAAATTTGCTTACCTTGTCATTTGTCATTTGCAAAATTATCTTGTTTAAAACATTCTGATAGTACATACAAGTACTCTGAAGTAGATATTAAAAAGATGCTTTAGTTTCTGATTGACAATATCTATGTAGTTTTTGGAGATCAGGGACCCGTTTTACAAAAGCACTTACGAGTAAGACGAAAATTTAATTTTGCTTGTAACTTTTTAACTTACATTATATCAAAAATGGTTTAAATTTTTTTTTAAAGAATGTAGTGAGATATCTTTACGCTAGCAATTTTAAACAAAATCATTTATTTTACAAAATTTTACAATCAATTTAAATTATCGGTCTTAGTCGTAAGTTCTTTTGTAAAACGGGCCCCAGGTTTTCCAACAATCTGTCGGAATTTCCATGGGTACCAATTGTGCCCCGTTATAAGCAGATCTATTTTTGTATTCATATGAAACAGAATTTATTCAAAAACTTATACATGAGAAGAAGAAGACACTTGTGGCCTTCAACTCGACATTAAGATATACCGACGACGTATTACCAATAAACAATTATAGTTACTTCCATTCATATGTCGACTCGATATATCCCAGTGAACTTGAAATAAAAGATATCACAGAGTCTGACACATTTGTTTGATATTTGGATATTTTGCTGGAAAAAGACGTTAATGGTAACCTAGCAACAAAACTTAATGATAATCGGGATGACTACAATTTTCTACCGTCAACTTCCTTTACTTGTGTAAAAAATACCCTTATCAGTTGCATACGGGATATATACATTGTATCTCCCAGTTGATTCGATACTCAAGAGCATGCTCCACGTACATGTACAAACGAGATAAGATACTGACGAACAAGTTGATGAAACAAGGATAGTCTTAAGCTCGTTTATAGTCATCATTTCGCAAGTTCAAGTTCTATATAGTCGATACAATTACCATGTCAGCATATAAAATCTATCATTAAGTCGAATGCTGACTGACGCTTTTCATACTAATCGTTAGACCATTATTTAAACACTGAATTGTCTACGGATTTTTCCGTTTTACCCGATCATGACAAGGAGCACACGGCGGGTGTGACGGGTCGACAGGGGATGCTTACTCCTCCGTGGCACCTGATCCCACTTCTGATGCTGTTTTAGAGGTTCGTGTTTGCTCTGCTCCTGATTTGTATTGTTTCAATGGACTTTTGAACTTGATTACTTTTAGTTATCTAAGCCAAATATTATGAAGTTTTGTGAAATTATGTGCTCAAAAGATGTTGGAATTAAAAAAAACTGTACATCTATTTCTAAAATTAAATGTTTCCTTCTCCCTCTAGCTGGACTTGACTCACACTTGCTTGATCTATTGTGCATTATATTTTTTTGTACCTCATGTTTTTGAAAGAATAAACTAAACTGAACTGAAAAAAACCTATTCAATCATATATCACATTACGTTAATAGACAAGGTAAATGGCTAATACTTAAGTCTCGGTTACAGCTAGGTAAAGAGAAATCAGAACAAAGTTCACTCTCTATTGTAATTGCTGTTTATGAAGTCGATAACCAACCTGATGTCATGTTTAAAATTTGGAATTTACTTGGTGGGAGTAAATTACAAAATTTAGAAATGGCAACTAGTTATCATGACACTAAAAATAAAAACGCTAATTAATCACGGAATAATCACGTGCTCTATAAGGTTGGTTATGACCCAGTAAATTCCAGATATAATCATAATATCAATCCATTACAAGCAAGAAATGTTAGAAATGCAGAGTTACATAGCAGTATATAGATCAACTCAAAGTTTAAGATCACTGGGGAAAAAGTTAATTTAAAAATTATCATTATATACCCTCTTTTAGTAGATAATACGAGTGAATTCACTGAATTGCATATTTCATTGTACATTTTTTCTGTTGATTAGATGCTTGTACATTGTTTTAAAAAGTTGCTAGGAAGAACAGAATGGATAAATGGTGTGTAGAATTATATTGAACCCTAGGAAATTCCGATTTACTCCCTGACGCTTTGGCCGTATTCAAACTTGTTTCGTAGTACAAAATGCTTCAGAATTTGTCAGTAGTAGACCTAGCAATCAGAGACATGAAAAATACAGAAATCTTATGAACATATGTCCTTTACAGTCTTAATAAAGATACTTTTTGCTATATAAAAGAATACTTAATGTGCTTATTTCAGATCATGATGATGGATTTTCTCCCTACAAGATTACAATGACATTTATGTCTCTGAAGATGAGAAAGAATCTTCTAATTGTTTCCCGGATATTTTGTGGTTATCAATAATATTCTAATACTACAATTTTGTTTTCACGATCACCGGAAGTAGGTTGTTTACCATGGCCGACTACGAGAGTGTTTTGTGTGTGAAAAACAATGTCCACGTATACAGAATTCCTCCTCGACCATCAAACAGAGGCTACAGGTGATAGTCAAGTTGACATTTATAAAGAGATAAGAAATTGGTCGAGTTTAGAAGCGTATTTGTTAAAGAAATTAGGCTTGGGGGCGTTCCTGTATAGTGAGACACCCGGTGTCTGGAATATACACAACATCATGTTGGTTATGTTATGTATACTTTGTCCTCCAATCTTGTTAAAATTAATTCTAGGTTACATTTCATAAAAGTCATCTTACAAGTTTTAATAGAAATTCCAAATTCATCAGTGGAAATCCGAATCAGCATATTGATAAACGAGATGTTCTTTGGTCGGTGTCATTGCTTTCAGTTTAGTTATGATTGAAGTCGTTGAAAATATCCATATTCACCAAATTAAACTTCTTACGTTTTAAGTGGATATCATTTCAACTTGTCCAATAAATAGAGGATATTTAATGTTTTGAAGATGAATATGGAATTTATTTCACGAGTGGGACAGGATTTGTTTTATATTTTCACGATTGCGAAGCACGAGTGAAAATATTAAAAAATCCTGTCTCACGAGTGAAATAAATTCCAAATTCATCTACAAAACATTGAATTTTCTGTTTATTACATTTTCGTAGATTTTCCCTCTGTCTTTTCTAACACAGTGTCATATAGGCTGTGATGTCATAGTTGAGCGGTTAAGACGTCATAGCTAAGCAATTGCGAGATTGAAAAACGCTGTAAACATGGATTTTTAACGACATATTTGGAAAAACTTTGTCAGTATAACTATTAGTCTCTGTCAGGATGACTCATTAACTCTATCTTATAATATAGAATATATATATATCTATATAGAATATAACTATTAGTCTCTGTCAGGATGACTCATTAACTCTATCTTATAATATAGAATATATATATATCTATATAGAATATAACTATTAGTCTCTGTCAGGATGACTCATTAACTCTATCTTATAATAGGCCAGGAATTTTTAAAAAAAAAAAAAAAAAAAACACTCTTTGTAAAGGGAAGGAAAATCGTAAGTTTTTCTGCCGCACTTCTGATATTCTCACACTGTGAGAATACCATTTTGATATCCTTTCACACTGTCAGAATGTCATTTTTATTCAGTAAATAAATTACAGTATTTCACTGTTGAAAATGTAATAAAGAATAAGGTTTGTCAATCTTGATTGGAGTTGTGACATAGTCTTAGTATGAACTCTTTGTTTTTCATTAAAAGTAAATATATAGTACATCCCTCCATATTTACATCCTTTTTTCATGTTCATTTTACATTTATAAACTTGATAGGGAATTGGTATGAGATAAAGTATCACTTTAAAAAAAAAATTAAATGAAATAAATGAATCTAATGCTGCAAGCTCTAAAGCAGTGCCTGCATGGGCAAAGGGAAAATTTAAACTGTGCACATTGATGTATATATGAGTGAATTTTTTTCTGCAGTAACCTCTGGACTCATAATCCTTTACAAATTGCATCCTGTTCTCATGGTAACAGCTAAAGTTCACCAAAATTAAAGAAACTCACCAAGATTTAAGTAAAAAGTAGTGTTGTCAAATCGGACAATTTTTAGTAACCAGTTACTTGCTTTAACTTTTCCTATTGAGTAACCGGTTACTTGGATAGATTTTTCATTACAGTTACCATATCTGTTATTTAATATCTCATCGATCGGTAGAAATAGAACACAAATGTACTGTATATGAACTTTATTTACAATTACAAACTCAAACACACACACAATATCTTCAAAGAATTTTGATTTTACATGTCACTGGAAACGGGCCGTTTGTTTTTGTTTAAGGAAACAATTTTATCAAAACATGAAGAAGACAAATAGATATATAGTCATCAATCACTATTTTTAAAATGGCTCTCATTACATTTTCTTTTTCAGCCCCCCGATATATGTCATGATCAAGGAGAATTTGAAACTGGTTGATTTGTAGAGTTGTCCAGTATATCGCTGGTTTCTGAATAATGTTTTAATCTTAGGTGATTTAACATATTTGTAGTCCCACTTGTATACAATAACTCCGATTCACATATTTTACATTTTACAGATCTCGAATCAGTTGTTCTTTTAAAATACTTCCAAGCTCTATATGTCTGCAGTGGCATCTTATTAAATTATGTTCCATTGACTAGCACAGGTGTAAATGAGGTAATTATAACTCAGGTCTTCAAAACTTTTATACCCCCTGGCAATCAAAGCTATCAATTGTATAAACTGTGAAACTAATCAAAACAAAACAATCATCTTTGTGAACCACTAGATCAAGTCTAATGGTAAATAAATTTAGGGAAATGTGTTACTATACATTTATAAACAATATAACATTTATTTTCTACATACTTGTTATGTAAAATGTATTTTTATCTGAGTAACCGAATAGCAGTTTTACTAACTGATACTCGCATCATTCTACGGTCAACCGGTTATTCGAGTACTCGTTGACAACACTAGTAAAAAGGTATCCAGTAATAAATACATGTACACAACTGCACTCACCTCAATGGTTGTACTGCCAACTTATTTAATCTTAAGAATATATTAATCTATTTAATCAATCCTTAAAACTTAAGATGATTACAAATTATTACTGGCACTTAGCAATATATCTCATATCATAATCATGATGATGATAATATTATAAGAAAATTAAAAAAAAAAAGATTACGATAAAGTTTGTTTTTTTATATATGCATTGATTACAGTGCTTTGATGATTTGATTTTGCAAAGAGGGTCAAGAACAAGTAGATTGTAATGCTGGTATTTTTCATGTTGTCTTATGACAAACAGTGCACATGCTAAATAACATAGAATAAACTCTTAAATGTCAAAAAATATGCTGTACATAGTCACTTTGAAGTATTTTAAAAGTAGGTCAAGGTCAGGGGTCATGAGGTCAGTAACCACGGTAATTTGCAAAAGCTGTAGTGTCAAGCACTATATGTGCAAAATATCAAATCCATACCTCTTACAGTCCTCGAGATATAGGGTGTGACAGACAGACAGACAGACAGACAGAGGCTTGGTAAATAATCCCTAAGTGCCACTCTGCTCTGCAGGTGACACAAAAATGATTCCACAGTATACAGAGTCCTTGTACTTGCAACAAGAATATCAACAAAATCTGATCATATTTTATTGACTTGATGCTATAGAGATATAATTTATAATAATGCACCAAACCTTTATTTGCTTGCAGAGCCTCTGATTGGAAGCTTGATGCTCCAGACTGGGATGGAAGATTAAGAGTTGTAGCCAAAGGCAAAGACTTATTCATTAAACTGGAAGACAAAACATCAGGTACATATACCAAAAATTTAATATCTTTGTTTTGTATCCTATTTATTCAAAGTTACTTCTAACTCAGATTAATCCAATTTTCAGGGGAGCTTTTTGCCCAGTGCCCTGTGGACAGCCATCCTGGAACAGCTGTAGAGAGTGTTATGGATTCAAGTCGATACTTTGTCATTAGGATTAAAGATGATAATGGTAATACTGAAAGAAAAAATAAATGTTATTTAAGGTATTAAGACAAAATCATGATAAATAGTTTAAATAGTGTATATTTAAGTAGAATACTTTGTATTTTACAAAAAAGAATATTTAGTGAGGATGACATAATGGTACATGTATATTGGTGGTTGGGACTTAAGAGTCACTAAAATTGAACATCATTATCATAAGAGACAAGACTCATCTTTCATGACTGATTTTAGCTGTACATTTATATTTAAATGTATGGTCAACCTAGCATTAAACTTAATGTTTGCTCTAGTCTAGCTTGGATATCCAGTCGATGGGAATTCTATCAGTGAACTGATTTTATTAGTATCAGTACTTGTGAAAGACTGCGAGTACATAAAGAAACCTCCTGAAAAGAGAAGCTGTCAGCATTATTGTTGATGTTTGCCATAAAAAACATTAACCTTATAACTTTGTGGTGAAGGGTAATAACTAAATGTTCCTTTGTTATCAGTAAATACAAATCTTATGTTGTTTAAATGTTCATTATTCTCTGACGTTCTTTATTTGAATTGTTAACAGGTCGCAGTGCTTTTATAGGAATTGGGTTTGATGATAGGAGTGACTCTTTTGACTTAAATGTAGCTTTACAGGATCATTTCAAGTAAGAATTTGATTGCAGCAATGTTCCACATGTAAATCTAAAGAAATGCTTTAACAATTTTTTGGTACCTTCAAAGTCATTTATATGACAATCTTGTGTTCTAAATAGTGTGAACTAAATTACGTTTAAATTATGAGCAATGGTCAGTATAATTTGAAATGTCAATTAGCTACTGATATAAAATTTTGTAGATGGTTGAAGAAAGAAGAAGAGGCACAAGCAGCCACCAAAGAATTTGACAGTGGACCAAAATTAGACCTAGGTTTTAAAGCAGGGCAAACAATCACTATTAATGTAGCAAAGGTAAATTAACACAAGTATAAGAAATACCCCATATTTAATTTGAATTTTATATTTATGAAATACACATACAAAAAACGTGGATACAATTTGGGCAGCATTTTCAAACTGTTTCTTCAAATTTATTTATACACTATGGTTGAAGATATAATGTTTTTTATATGATATTCCTAGTCTTTGTTATTATATTTAACAGAAATATTTGTAGTACATGTATATGACAATAGAGATATAGGTAATTATGAAGTTTTGCTAATAAATACAGCACAGTCTTATTGAATCATGGTTTCTGAAAACAAGATTTCTGAACAATTTTAAAAAATGATGGTGTTTATAATGTATGATCAGTAGCAAGTTTTTAATTCATACATCATAAATGCAAAGTGATAAATAATACACAGGACTGAGCTGTTTGTACAAAAAACAGAGATATATGTAACACAGGCACTTGTTTCTGTTATTACATGTACTTATAAACATTTAAGACACCCCCTCCCCCCCCCCCCCCCCCCCCCCCCGGGTTTTTATTATACTGTAGAGGTTAAGTTTTATTACAGAAATCAGTGCCTGTTGTATGATAGTATACATATTTCTTGAAGCAGTGGAGTCCATTGTTCAGGAAGTCAGACGTTGCTTCTTGTTGATCTGCCTAATATGGAACTTAACACAGGGGCAGGTAACTTACTATGCTTGATTATACGTGTAATGTAGTGATCATGTGAAATCAAGCATACTACCGGCCCCTGTGGAACTTAAGTGATAAATTTTTAGAATTACAATAAATCATAGAGTAATGTTGCATTATTCCTCCTTGATTGTAGCTCTAGCTTTTGAATTTGCTATATTTTCACAGACCAAAAAAGTAGGATCTGATACAACAACTTCCAAACCTCGACCAAAAGGGGGTACAACAGGAGGAATGTTACCTCCCCCTCCAGGGGGGATGAAATTACCTCCACCACCAGGTGGAGCCTTACAACAGACTTTTCCAGCGCCACCTTCTGGCAATGTGTCACAAGCACAAGTGAATAAGAACTCTGGTAGTAACGTTGATCTTTTAGATTTTGACTTTGGTGAATCACCTAGCAGTACATCTTCAAACACAGCCCCTATTCAACCAGTACAGACCAAAAGTGATCCTTGGGGGGATTTCACAGGAGCAGGGTATGTGTTTATATTTGTCATTATTACTTAAAGCATTAAATTTTGAAGAAAAAACTCTTGTTAGGTAAAATAAATATAAAAAACTTACATGAAGCTCATATGAAGCTCATATCCTACTGCTGACATTATTTCAACATACACTTACATTACTGTACTAGCAAAACCATTTAATATGTGTACTACAGGTACGTTTCATAGAAAGATGATTTTTTTCATCTATTTAAAGCAATTGAATTAATCTGTGCATGACAGAAATTGTAACTACTGTAAATATGCAAGTACATTTTTTGTATGTACGTGTAAGTAGTATTTCATGTACATGTACATAGCTTATCTACCATTGTAAAGTAATACATTTTTTTACCAATATATATAAATTATATATATGTGTGTGTAGTAAATTGTGTTACAAGAAACAGTTGCATCATAAGCTATGTATTATATAGGGCCTTTGACTAAGTATTAAACTATTTAAGAACATATTCAGCTGTACCTTGTTCAGTTAATCCCCCCTCTCATTTCTTTTAAGTTCTTATGCCTCTCCCTTCTCATACAATGCTCATATTATCTTTTCTCTTTGTGAAGTTTTGGTAAACACTAATGGAGTATTTGACATACCACAATAAGGTGACTGGATACCAGCCATTTTTATGCCCCGCCATGAATATGGCCGGGGCATATAGTGTTTGTCATGTCCGTCTTCCGTCCTTCCGTCCTTCTGTCCTTCCGTCTGTCCTTCCGTCACACTTTGCGTTTAGCTCTGTTCAAAGCTCAGTTTCAAAGAAACTATCCAAGATATTTTTATCAAACTTCATATGCTGATAGATATTGATGAGGGCTATGCAACTGCATCAACATTTTTTGACCTTGACCTTTCCTTTGACCTTGACCTCACTTTTCTTAAATTAGTGTTTAGCTCAGTTTTAAAGATACCATTCAAGATAGTGTAATCAAACTTCATATGTTGATACATACTGATGTAAGCTATTCAATTGCATCAACATTTTTTTGACCTTGACCTTTATTTTGACCTTGACCTCACTTTTCTTAAATTAATGTTTAGCTCTGTTTTAATGAAACCATTCAAGATATTTTTAACAAACTTCATATGCTGATACATACTGATGAGAGCTATTCAACTGCATCAATATTTTTTACCTTGACCTTTCCTTTGACCTTGACCTCACTTTTCTTAAATAAGTTTTTAGCTCAGTTTTAAAGATACCATTCAAGATAGTGTTATCAAACTTTATATGCTGATACATACTGATGAGAGCTATTCAACTGCATCAACATTTTTTGACCTTGACCTTTCATTTGACCTTGACCTCACTTTTCTTAAATTAGTGTCAAACTTCATATGCTGATACATACTGATGAGAGCTATTCAACTGCATCAATATTTTTTGACCTTGACCTTTCCTTTGACCTTGACCTCACTTTTCTTAAATTAGTGTTTAGCTCAGTTTTAAAGAAACCATTCATAATATTTTCATCAAACTTCATATGCTAATACATACTGAAGTAACCTTTTCAACTGCATAAACATTTTTTGACCTTGACCTTTCCTTTGACCTTGACCTCACTTTTCTTAAATTAGTGTCAAACTTCATATGCTGATACATACTGATGAGAGCTATTCAACTGCATCAATATTTTTTGACCTTGACCTTTCCTTTGACCTTGACCTCACTTTTCTTAAATTAGTGTTTAGCACAGTTTTAAAGAAACCATTCATAATATTTTCATCAAACTTCATATGCTAATACATACTGATGTAACCTTTTCAACTACATCAACATTTTTGATCTTGACCTTTCCTTTGATCTTGACCTCACTTTTCTTAAATTAGTTTCTGAATCAAACGTCATATGCTGATACATACTGATGTAAGCTATTCAACTGCAGCAATATTTTTTGACCTTGACCTTTCCTTTGACCTTGACCTCACTTTTCTCAATTTGTGTTAAAATGTTGCATTACTAATATACCCTTGGCGGGGCATTCATGTCCTATGGACATATTTCTAGTTTTTAATACTATACTTTACCATGTTTACACAATTTTTGCCCCCGTACTTTCTCCGCTTTGTGATAAATATTTCTCACTGCACTTTCCCTTATCACAGTACATATATTTTTCCCCCAAAAATTTTTAAAATAGTAGCATTTCCATTTTACCCTTGAAAAAAAGGCAATCATTTGACCCTTCCTCCTCATTATACTTCCAATTAGATAAATGTAATAAAATTGAAACATGATGGTGGCTTTTTTAACAAAAAATTTAGATTTAAATTAATAATGTGTATAACTATTGTTTAAAAAAACTGCTAATGAAGTAATGCCTTGTATAAAATTTTATGCTATTACAGTGTAAATATCGAGTGCATACTATTTTATTTATAAAATAACTTAATTTTTCCTTTGATTAATTGGTTGCTTTTTTTCATTTTGACAGGTCCAATGACAACAACTGGGTACAGTTTTGATGACAACAGATGGAATATTGTTGTATATTGAACTCCTCTGCATTGAGTTATTATTCCACACAGATTTTAAATTACATCAGCTATTGGACACAGTTTTGATATTTATTATCTGAAAGTTCTTCTTGCAGAAAAAATAATTCATATTTTAAATATTTGAGGGTTTGTACAAATGTCATTTTGATTTGCCTCTTTTAATGGAAATTGTTCAAAAGATTTTCACATAAGTTGTTTTTAAAACTTTGTACTGAAGTATGATTGCACGTGTTGAAAAAAAGTTGGAAGTTTCATATTTTGGTTAGTCTCCGAAGTATAGTTAACTGTCAGTAAATATTTGCATCTTGGCAGAAATGATAATGAATAACACTATGATAATAACACTATGATATAACAGCAAACACTCAGTTTGTACAAGAGAAATATTTGTCAGAGAAGTCTCTTTTTTCATGATTTTTCTGCAGTGGGAGGTATATTTTTTTAATGATTGAATGCTATCATACTCTGGTCTGGTCCTAGATAAGACACTAAATGCTCATTGAAGGCTTTTTTGATGAATTACATGTAGGAAGTGCCCTTTCTGCAGGGCAGAAAGTATCTGGTATATGTGTATGCGTACCTTTAAGCATAATGATCTGTTTTTCCCCCATTTGTTAATTCAACTGCATATGCTTGACTTGCAGAGGTCATTACAGTTTTGATAGTTGACATGATATACATGTATTATGCTGACTGAACTGGGTACGTAATTTACAACTGAAAATATAGGTTGTTGTATAAATTCAAACCTGAGGAAGTTTAAGACTGTTCAAAGGTTGTTCTGTTTTAATATGAAATTATAATGCATGTACATGTAGGTTTGAGAAATTTACACCGAAATAATATTGATTAATTTAAGATCAAATATCTGGCTTGTATATTAAAGTTAAAAACTGCAATTTCCTTCAATGTCATCTGTTGGAGACTTAGGGAATTACATATTACATCTTTTGTGACCATTACAAATACATATGTAGATGTTCATATCCATATTACTTGATGTATGTAATGGACATTTTCTGAGGCACAAGTCTTTATCAATTATATATACATTTTTTAATTTTATCAATTTTTAAATCATATTTTTTGTATTTTGAATACCGAGGTAATTTGAAATTGCATGTATTCCAGTATTTCGTAATTTTATGCTACATGATATTGATCTAGTGAAATTTGGCAGAAGATGGGTTACCTTAGAAATTGTCCATTATACAATATGTTTTAAAAATGTTTATACAGAATAAATGGTAAGTGTTATTTTTTTCTTTTCTGTCTCTTGTTTTGAAGTTTCAAGCAAAAGGTGTGTTCAGTTGAAGTAATCTTGATATTTATTCCTAGAATTGGTCTTATAGTGAATGTACATGTGTATAATCAATATGTACATGAATAAATGCTGATGTATATTACTAAAATATGTACATTGTATTTTTTCACATAATTTTCTAGTCAGAATTACATGGCGATATTACTTTAAGTACTTCTGCAAAAAAGGGATTATGGTAAACATTGAAAAAAAAAATACTTGAAAAAAATGCATAATTGATAAATGCTTTAATTTATAGATTTTCATTTCTAAAACACTTTGTTTTTTATTGTGACAACAAAAATAAAATGGAACAGTTGAAAATTTTATTAGATATGTATCTGAGTACAGATTTGTTAAGTTTATTTGTTATACATGTTATAAAACTTGTGTATGTTGATTCCTTTTAGAGGATTTTTCCACCAGTTTCCATTCCATTGTGTACATGCATTTATCAAGACTTATTTCAGTTTTGCAGGTGTAAATAATAGATATGAAGGTAATGATGTAATTTACAGCATTGACAAAATAAGATATTGATGTATGATTTTTAATATAAGAAATAAAGATGCAGTTAATATGTGTATTCATAAATAGCATCTCTGGGATTTTAAAATGAATCGAGTCTTAATGTTACGTATTACGTAATTGTATGTCTTGGGGGAGGGAGGGGTGCTATATTGAATAACTATAATTTCATCCAAGTACCTCATTAGCAAAACCAAACATCAAAATGCATTTTTATGAGTGGGGAGGGGGGGGGGTACAGTATATTAGCAAAAATATTGTCTGCAGCAGGTGTTCCTTTGGCCATGCATTAATTTTTTTTTTGTTGTTTAAATTTATTTATTATGTTACATGTATTTCATGGTTGATGTAAAGGCCTAGGACCTATGTCAGCAGATACAACAAAACGTAAAAACGTAAACACCCTAACCCCCAAATGCCTATGGTCTGGTCAGATAGGTTCTATTTTGGACCATTTATTCACAGGCACTTGGGGTATGGACCCCCCCCCCCCCCTTTCCATTTTTTTATTATTAAATCTGGGGTCGAGTCACCTTTTTCCTATTTTTGTATTCTAATATGCACTGTATGTTATCAATAATGTAACTCTTTTGTCTCTTTTAGCTGTTTTTAAATTTTTCGTTTTCGACTGATACATGATTTTTATGTATCAGTCGAAAACGATACATTTAAAAACAGCTTATAGAGACAAAGGAGTTACATTATTGATAACATACAGTGTATATTAGAATACAAAAATAGGAAAAAGGTGACTTGACCCCAGATTGAAAAAGAAAAGGAGGGGGGGGGTCCATACCCCAAGTGCCTGTGCATTTATTGAGCCTATCAGTGTCAAAATCAGGCAAGTTGTAAGGATTCTTTTCACTCTTTGGCATATCTATATATCTATATCTATATATAGAGTACCAACCAGACCCAACCAGCTAACACCCAAGCAGTCCCCGGGACTGCACTAGAAAGCATATTTTATATATATATATATATATATATATATATATATATATATATATATATATATATATATATATATATATATATATATATATATAATGCAATGTGGATACTATGATAATTATGGGATGACCATTTGATTTTGATGGGTGGCAGTATTTTGGAAATCAATAATCTGTCCCCGAAAATGTTTAAAATAAATAATCTGACCTTCACTAGTGCTACCCCCCCCCCCCCCCAATATGAAATGAAGTTTTGGAGTCTGAGCCACCCCCCACCCCACCCTCCACCCCCTTTTGTATTGGGGGGGGGGGGGGGTGTTTGATTTTTGTTCTGTTTGTTTGTTTGTTTTTTTTGCTTGTCAAACTTTTTTCAGTGAAGAAGAAAATAAATAAAATATCCTTAACTGGCATGAAAATAAATAATTTGACTCAAAAAATTTTGCCAGCCCCCACCCCCGAATCAAATAGCTTTCCCCTTACTGGATATTAAAATGGTTAAATCAAATACAATTTTATAAATACATACCGGATTTTTACATGCAAATAGTAGAGGCAGTCAGCCTAAGTCGGTATGAAAATTTTAAATTACATACAAAATTAAAAGCGACAGACCCTTTAAAAAACAAAAGTAGGGTCGGGGAGGCCGGCACCCCTCCCTCGCGTACTTACGATTGTCATTTTTAAATCAAACGAATAATTATACGAAAGAGTTGTCAAATTTAAAAATAGATAACAAAGTGAAAGTGGAAATAGACTCGACAGACTGCAATGCAAAGTTAACAGCAAAGTTAGAGAAAAAAAATGGCATTTAAAACGATTTGGAGGTACGCAAGAGACGTTTTTAAGACTGAAAGATGTTTAAAAGGATTGTCTTCTTATATTTTATATTTTAATTGTTTATGTAATATTCAGTTATTTTTCATACTCAAAATTACCGCATGTAGAATCTGAGAAAATTCAAGTTAATTGAGTTAGTATGCAAATTAGATCTGTAATATCTTAAAATTTTGGAGTAACCGTGAAAAGAAAGGGAGGGAATATCCTATTATTTTCAAAAACCAATGTTATTGGCTATGTTTTCCTGAAGAGATATTTTCGAAAGAGTCTGTCATTCAGTAAAATACCCAATCAATTGATGGAAACGCTGTTTGTCCAATTCTAAATTCCTAGCCAGTCGATTTTTATGAATTTAAACAATAATTTGTGTTTATTAGGACTATAGCAATTTATTATACATAATTTCTGTAGTGGTTTGGGTTATATCGACTGTGGATATCAGCCTGGGTAGTTCAATGGTTAGAGCTCCAGACTAGAAATGCAAGGGTACCAGTTATGAATCTGGTCCATGACAGCCGTAAATTTTTCCTTTCCTTATAAATACATTTGGTAAGACCCATGGACTAGGACTTGCATGTGAAAAGTCTTGCCAGGGGCCAAACAATCTGGGTTTGGTCTCAGAGGGCAAAGAAAACTTAAGGAGGGATCGAAGAATGTAGAGGCTTGGGCTATATGGCTTAATTGTCAAGTTGTGGATATTGGCCTGGAATGCCCAGATAGGCCGGAGTACCTGACTGGTAATGCAATATGGGGCTCTGAGTTTAATTCCTGCTTTTTCCTTCATTTTTTTCTCCTTTCCTATTACATATCAATAAAGACTATATTTCAAAAGTATTTGATCATGTACTTGAAGATTTTAAATTTAATGAAGTTAATAGAATGAAAACCACCACTTTGTTCGATCTGCATACTAACTTGTTGTCTTGTTGACCATCCTTACTTTTGATTTACAAAATATTTACTGAATATGTCTAAATGTATACTCAGTAAAATTTCCTTACAATGAACCTCAACTGGAGTCAAGGTACAGCCTTATTCACATTGATTATGAATTCTGTCATTTGTTACATCCAGTCAATTTTTTCTTTTCAATAATTTGTTGACTTGGTACATGTATATGTAACAATCCTTTTAAGTCAATACATGTATATATTGTTTACATTTCCAGATTTTTTTTAAATTTTTGTTTTTAGCAATAAAGAGCCCATCAATGGGATTGACTGTTTCTTTACGGAGGAATCTTTCAACAAATACTCAAGGATTCCCCCTACTCTGGAGGAGAGGCTGTTGATGAGGATTAAACAGGTGAAAGGAGAACCAGTCTATCCCAGTACAGCACAGGTCAAAAGTTGTTCTGCTGAGACTAGGTACAGTACACACTTTGTGGTACACTTGAACTTTGATGTCTCAGATATTGTTTTATCAACAAAAAACCCAGAGATATAGGTTATCCTCCTTGTTGGTATGAATTTAAGACTCGACTTCAGTATTTAGAACTCTGGGATATCTCAATTTTTTTTTTAAATCCTGTTATATTTGATGCATTTAATAGAAAGGATTTGAATGAATAAACATAACTAATACCAAAATGGAAAATATATATGTAATTAAAGAATGCTAAATTATTATTGAAAATTATTGCAAGAAATTATGGAATTTTATGGAGGGAAGAATGTAGAGGCTTAGGCTATATGGCTTGTCAAGTTCACAAGTGTCAATGGTTTATCTTTAAGTTATCTTTTTTGATGTATGCACTCAACAAAATTAAGTCATTAGTGGAACTTTTTCTTGAATGATTTTAAATATATGACATTTCTTAGTTTTAGCATAGATGAAAGAGAGAAAATTACAGAGAGTTCTGACAATGCAGGGGAATTCCAGCCTAAACAGACAGAGAAAACATTCACTAAAACACAGTCTACTCCAGCCAAGGAACAACAGTCAGTTTCTTACCAATGTTATTTACTGTATAATCTGTTTATATAGTGATCCTTATTGGATTGTCAGAATTGATTCCGTAAAAAATTCATTGCTTCAAGTAAATATTTCAGCATTTAATAATACTTAGTGAAAAACAATATGTGTTCGTAATTTCAGCAAAAATTCACTAATATCATGATCAATATACAGTTGAACTTTGGTATCTTGAGCAAGGATATTTCGAATATTATGGATATGTCAAAGTGATACTGAAGTCCAAACTACCTATTCTTTATGTATTTTACCCTATATATCTCAAATCCTTAGATAACTCGAAGTTTTTTCTTGGCCCCATCAAGTTCTAGATAACAAGGTTTGACTGTATATATATATTTTTTGTTCCCTAATTTATGTTTTCTTATGATCTTCTTGCACAAATATACAAATGTTGGTGACTCTCTATAAAACATTTTTAAAAAAATATAAAAATCAAAATACAAAAATGTAAAACATCAGAAATGAGAATTGTGGAAATTGCAGAAAGAAGAAAATATGTTCGGAGTTACCATACAGTAAGAAAGTAGCCCCTCCTAGGAAGTCCAGGTTCTCACATGATCAACAGAAGCGATATGTATATCTTTACAAAAAATATACACACAGAACTTCTATTGATACAACACCGGAGGAGAGAGGGGAGATAAGAGAGCTACAGGTAATTAATAACCCCCCCCCCCACACACACACACACACACATACGGTTCAATCTTCTCTTTGTAGTGTTTGCTTCCAGTCTTCACATTTTCTAAGTGATGTTAAATTTTTATGCCCCTCTTTGAAGAGGCTTTGCTGCTGTCTCTCGGTCGGTCTGTCAGTGATTCCAATTAAAAATTCCAATTATTTAGAGTTTCTGTTCATTTTCTTCACAGAGGTTGCACATACTGAAATGAAATTTGATATACAGATTTATCATAAAAATATATAGGACAAGTTCTGTTTTGGGTAAGATCGAGCAATTTTTGAATGTTTTGCCCCTTGGATTTAGAAAAATTCCAATTATTTAGCGTTTCCATTCATTTTCTTTGCAGAGGTTGCACATACTAATATGAAATTTGGTATACAGATTTATTATAAGTATATCTAGGTCAAGTTCTATTTTGGTAAGATCAAGCAATTTTTGACAGAGTTATGCCCCTTGGACTTAAAAAAATATCAATTATTTGCAGTTTCCCTTCATTTTCTTTGCAGAGGTTGCACGTACTAATATGAAATTTGGTGTACAAATCTAACATAAAAATATCTAGGTCAACTTCTGTTTTGGGTATGATCGAGCAATTTTTACTGAATTATGCCCCTTGGACGTAGAAAAATTCCAATTATTTAGGGTTTCCATTCATTTTCTTTGTAGGTGTTGCTCAGACTGAAATGAAATTTGATATACAGATTTATCATGAAAATATCTAGGTCAAGTTTTGTTTTGGGTACGATCAAGCATTTTTTGAAAGAGTTATGCCCCTTGGACGTAGAAAAATTCCAATGATTGGGTGGGGGCATAAGTGTTTCACAAGCGTCTCTTGTTTATGACTAAATGACAGTGACTTTATGAAGATTTAGTTAGTTCTTACTTACGTTTAGTTATTTACATAATTATTTTACAGATACTGATAAGTAAAGCTAGCTTTTGTATAAATTGATTTAAGTCAAAATATTTTTCCATATGCTGATAATTTTTTGGGGTGAGTATTTTTAGCTCACCTGAGCCAAAGTGTTTTTTCTGATCAAAATTTGTCCATTGTATGTCGTTGTCATCAGTTTTTAGCTCACCTGAGCTAAAGGCTCAAGTGAGCTTTTCTGAACACATTTTGTCCAGCGTCCATCTGTCTGTAAACTTTTCACATTTTTTAGTCTTCTTCTCAAGAACCACTGGGCCAATTTCAACCAAACTTGCCACAAAGTATCCTTGGGTAAAGGGGATTCAAATTTGTTTCCAAGGGGAAATAATTACAAATTAGTGAAAAGTAAATGGCATATTTTAAAAATCTTCTTCTCAAGAACAGCAAATCCATGATCGGTCATATTTATATGGAAGCATCCTCAGGTAGTGTAGATTCAAGTTTGTTCAAATCATGACCCCCGGGGGTAGGGTGGGGCCACAATGGGTGATCAAAGTTTTACATAGGAATACTTAGGAAAAATCTTAAAAAACCTTCTCAAGAACAGCAAATCCATGATTGGTCATATTTATATGGAAGCATCCTCAGGTAATGTAGATTCAAATTTGTTCAAATCATGATCCCCCAGTAGAATAGAGGGACATAACAGGGGATCATAGTTATACAAAGGAATACAAAGGATATATATCAATAAAAAAATTTCTTCTTAAGAACAGCAAAGCCAGTATTTGTTTGTCATATTAAGAACCCTCTATACACTGCACACTATAGAGTTCTGATTTTGTGGTATTTTTATGTAGTAAGAATAATCTGCCCTTAGATCTAAAATAAAGTAAATTGAAATCTACAGTTTATCAATCAATTTCTAATCAATTTCTAATCAATTCAAGCATTCTTTACATTTTGATAGGACGAGATAAATTAAATGAACACCTCACCTGCTTGCTTTTTTCCCTTTTAAGTAAACAACAGTGATATCTGTTCATCAAAACTTTGTTGACTTTAAACATTTTTCCTGGTGGTAAAAGCCTGGTACCCTATGTTGAAAATGATATAAGTAGGCTCAATATTTACACCTTTATACAATATAATTTTCTCAATGTCCAAAAAACATTTTCATTAAGTGTAGAGAGGGTCCTTAATTCAAAAGCATCCCTATGAAGTATAGATTCAAGAAGGTTCAAAATAACCCCCCCCCCCCCCCCCCATGTTGGAACCAATTTTATATTTAAACTTTTCAAGACTGAACTGATTTCTGCTTTTTCCTAGCCAGAGTGCTCAGGTGACCAATGTGGCCCCTGGGCCTCTTGTTTTCAATATGCAGGATCCTTGTGTAAAAAAATACGTAGTTGACAGTAATACCGGGTATTTTGACAGATACTGACAAGTGAAGTTCTAGAGGAACAGAGAGAATTCCAGGAATTTCAGGAGATGCTCTCTAACACAGCCCACAAAACTGACTACACCTACATGAATCCTGCGGCTAGAAAGTACATGGAGGTGGTATTGCTGTATATACACATTGTTCAAACTATTGTGTCTGAAAATTAAAATGTGAAAGCTTTCATTCATGCACAGGTACATGTACATGTATTTGGCATTATATCTTTGGTATTTTAAGAGATAAAACATAATAGAATTTTAAAGTTCAGAATGGATTTAAAAATGTTTTTAGCTCAACTAGTTGAGGTCTAGAAGAGCTTATGCAGTGATAAAGTGTCCATCATTTGTCTGTTAAGTGGTTGAATGTAAACAAGTTTACAAAATGCTACATCTCCAGTAGTTTTTGTCCAAGTAAAAGTAGACTATGCATAAATCTATAATTCTGTTTATTTTTTTTTTCATATCAATAAACAACACTGAACAATGTTGCTAGAAATTTGCTGGATTTTTTTTTTTCAAATTGCCACTCCTCCTACAGTACCCAGATTTCAATAAAACCTTGTTACATGAATAGACTATCAAGATGTACAATCCTGTGTATAATTTTAGATTTTGATAAACAATACTGCCGTAGTAATTAAAAAATAGAATAATCTATAAAATGCTGCTTCTCCTAAGTTTTTATTTGATTTCATAAAAATTTGTACAAGTTTAGGAAAACATCAAAAAAGATACATTATTCTGTAAATATTGAAAAAATTGTTTTGAAGTCTAGATGTAGCTGTTCTCTTTCACTATTGCATGTATGTGTATAAGGCAGTAGAGCTAAAGTCTCATCAGGGACTTCTGTTTTTATGTTCAGGATTATGTCCATAGTCGAAAGAAAGAGGCGGAGTTATACCCAAAATATTATAACACAGAATCATCTTTTAACATTGATGGGGAAGGTCAGCCTTCTAGGATGATGTTTATAAAACCCCTTCTACAGTTGGTAAGTTAATGACATAGTTTTTTATCCATGCAGTGTCATTTGATCAGTCCTTCCAACTGATAAACATAAAAGTGGAAAACTCCTTATTTAACTATCAGAGATATACATGTAAATTAAAATGGAGAGATAGTAAAAAAAAATATATGTACAATTTATGAAAATGAATCCATGCATTTACCAGTTTTTCTTTTTTCTAAGGGCATTGTGCCGAAGATGATACTTCCCACAGTGACCCAGCAGCTGAAGCCAGAGTTACCCCTGGATTCCCTGGCGGTCAGTCAGCAGTATCCTGTCTCCAAAAGCAGAAATCATAAACCAGGAGCCTGGAACCATGAGGCATGTTATAACAACTTTATTTTTTTTTTTTTATTCCTATATGATGTATACTATGGAATTGTTTATATCAGTGCCATGGGTGATCAATTTTTGAGGATTTCCTAGAATTTAAAAGTATGATTTGTGTTTAGATGTAATTCATGTAAAAATTGATTTTGATATAGCCTTGTAGTTTGGATGACAATGCCACACACTTGGCAGTAGAGAATCGAGCACACATTGTGATATCAGCTGGGGCCCTTCAATGTTTGGTAGACAACCATGCCCCCAAACATTTGGAGGAGTGGGAGATGCCTTTTATTGTCAGGGAATACCAATTGAAAGGTCAGAATGTTAAAAAATAACTGATTACATGTATTTGGTTTTGTGAGTAAAAAAATATTTGTTTTCCAATTTGATCCTTAAATAAAGATAATCATTATGCATTCCATGAACGTATAAATTTCCTTTTAATTGAAATTTAAAAACACGACTCTTTCTGATTGTTTTTTTTTTTTCATATTTATTTAATTCTATCGTTATTCTTCTTCAGATGGTGATGAAGTATTTGTGCAAAGGGTTGTATTCATAGACAGGCCATTTCTACAACCTCAGCTTACCCCCAAAGACAAAAACACAAAGTACTTCAAGTATGCCCTGAAGGCCTTCATAGCAAAGCCATCACAGAAGGGCCATGTGTTCAGTAAAATTGATAATTCTGGGGCTGATGCAAAATTTGTAGGACCATCTTCTCATGTTAACCAACAGACAACAAATACAAACTATACAGCATGTTCCAAAAAGACCTCGGTCAAAAAAGAAGGTCAAGATGTCACTAAAAAGAGAGAGGAACCATTTTCTGTTGGAGATATTTCTCTAGAAGACCTTGAATGTTTTGGGACTACAAAGAAAAAGAAAAATACAACAGCAAAAAACAAGCAAACACCAGCTGTGGACATGGAAATAGAATCTCAAGTGAGCATAGATGATTTGGAATCATTTGGAACTGTTAGTGCAAATAAAATTCAGAAAACTGCAGAGAAAATCAAGTCTAATGATTCTGATCAAGATTTGATCAGAAAAATTAAAGAAATGCACAAACCCCAGAAACAGATACTACCTACAAAAACTCTGGCAAAAGAAAAGCCAGCTTTGGATTTAGCAAATGTAAATACGAATTCTGTTGGAAATTCAAGTAAAGTTCAGGAAATTCATATGGAAAGTGGTTTCCAAAGTGCTGAAAATGTTGAAAATACAAAAGATGCAGGAAATGTGCCAGAAAAAAACGAACATTCTCAACCAGACTCTTATAATACACATGTGAAAGATTCTTCAGTAGAAAATATGAAAATGAACTCAGAAAATGAAAACTCTCAGATGCCAGAGCAGAACATAGAAAGTAGTCTAATTGTTAAAGCACCTCAGATGATTCCATGGCGTACACCTGAATTGTTTGATGAGAGTGATCAGAAAACCACATCTAGGGAGTCAGAAAAAAAGCAGACAAGGCAAGCAGCTATCCACAGTGAAGAGGACAGCAGTGATGATGAGGACAAACTATTCATTATCGAGAGTCCTACAAAGAAGATGGAAGTGTTTGATGAGGCTCCTGCCAGTCCCTCACCAGCAAGTCCTGATCCTGGCCAGGAGGAAACAGAGATCTGCAGGATCATTCCTATAGGATCAGACTATACGCCTGATTCAGCTCAGAGCCCAGCATGGAGACAGGAATCTCCCACTAGTCCAGTGAAAGGAGGACATTCTGACATTTCTGAAACTATGCAGTGTCCTCTCATTCCTTTGTGTGGGGAAAGCGAAGATGAGATTGTTGATACATCCTGTCAGGATCAAATATCAAAACAGATCAGTCATTTTCCAGACAGTATTTTTGAAAAGCCTGTAGGCACACCATTAAGGAGATCGGGAAGGTGCAGGAAAAACAGTCGAAGTTTGGATTCTCTGAACACAGAAAGTGGTCAGACTGCACAGAATACAAGTAAAATGGGAGATTGTTTCAGTGACACATTTCAAAGTTGTGAATCAGATGTGCATCATGAGGGAGATGATAATTCTAAGCAAAAAGTAATGACAAGAAAGAAAAAGTGTAAGAAAGATATCACATCAGAGAGTGAGAATGAGGAAAAGGAAGTCAAACATCCAACAGCTCAACCAGTGAAAAGGAAAAGGGGAAGGCCCCGGAAAAATCCTTCTCCTGAATCTTTGAAAGCTGAGGGAAATGAGAGTGAAAAAGGTCAGGCATCAACTCCACTTAGAATGTCAACAAGATCCAGATCTAGGTCCTCAGTTGGTGGGACATCAGAAGATGAGGTACAAGAAAAAGAAGTGGCAAATCGATCAAGGAGAAAACGAAAGTCTGAAGCAGGTGGATCTAAAGAGAGTGAAAAAGAGGTTGAGAAACCTGCTGAAGATGGCAATAAGACTATTACAGGTCTGGAAACTAAGAAAGATAAACTAAATATGAGAGATCGATCAGAGACATCTGCTGCAGGCTTACCAGTGCAGGCCAAAAGACCAAGGTCAGACAACGCTGGTAAGTATTGTTAAGACGTTGACTACGTACATGTACTTATATACTATATAAGTAGAAATTTTAGTGAAGATTCAATTTTGGCAATTTTAGTGAGGGTATTGAGATCACTAAAATTGAATATCAATAACAATTCATACCGTATTGGAGATTACCGTTGTCTTTCTATGTGCATTAAATTGCTGAAATTACTTCTTACTAATAAAATTCTTATTTTTAAGGACAAATTGCTAAATTTGCATCTTGCTAAAAGTTCCACTTACACAGTATTTTTATAGCATGCTGAATTTCATATACATGTACTAATGAATCACTGTGATAGAATAAATTCATGTAAATGTGATGCATATAAAGATTAATAGCTTTAATTCATGGTTGATATAATTACTTCATAACCTAAAGATGTGTTAAATATTGAATTTGCAAAATTAGAAACTGTAAAATGTTTTCCAAGGAAAATACATTTAAATGTTACTGTAACAGTAGCTTTTATTTCATGAGTAATTTCTCAGCATCTGGTTCATTTTGTTTTGATCTGAACTTCAATGAAGCTTTCAGTTTGGCTGGTTTATAAGGCAAAAATTGGTCTATGTATATACTTCAGAATAACAGTTTTATTCAGCTTTTGCACTGATCGACTGTTAGGTATGACCTATTTTGAGGATTAAAACTTCACACACAAAAAATCAGGACGAGATTCTCAAATGCATCACTGGAGCTGACCTTGAACCTGACATACATTCAGGAATGTGTTAAATCAACTTGAACTTGAAAAATCAATTTCCACTAATTATTGTACATGCTAAATATATTAATTCATTAACAGTAATACGTTTTACATGGATCTTTTAAATTTGTACAGAAAACCTCTTGGGCAACATTGGACCACACAAAAGAGTAAGTCGGGTTGGCAGACAGCCATCTACACCAGCTCACTCCGTAACAAAACCAGAAAGTAACCAGCTCCAGCAGGTGTCAGAGGTCAAATCAAGAGAGAGCAAGAAAACCAACCAACAAACACACAAAGCAGAAGACAAGTTCAGTTTAGATAGCATACTCAATGTGCAACAGACACTCCTCAAATCTGGTGAAGTACTAAGTCATTTATTATCTAAGCATTATTCTATTCTAATTGTTTTGTAATTGTAACATAGTATAAAGATTTTGATTATGAAACCATGAAATTAATGACAGTGAATGAAAACTTGATAATTTCATTCTTTATAATTATGGTATATACGTTTGGTATGCAACATCATAGATTTTCTTGAAAAGTCATGCATAAGTAGGCATCCTTCAAATTTTGACCTACAAGTCACGGTAGCCTAGTGGTAGAGTGCTTGCTTTGTGATCAGGAGGCCCGGTTGGTTCAATTCATGTTTGCCACGCCACATCAAACCTAAAATATTTTAGAGATTTAAAAAAAATCTTGCAGTTTTGCTATTAGAAACTATATATTATTTCAGATATGATTTTTTTTCAAATGTACATAAACTTAGCTGGCTAGTTATCAGATTTTATCTTAAATTGTGAATTTCATTGAGAACTTAACTTGTCTCCATGGTAACTAAGCAGTAAAAGTAGAAACAATGAAGACAACAGTTGTTAGCATTTCTTAGCATCTTGTAAATCATTCTTGCATTTAGATAGAATCTTGTTACTAGGTAGAATCAACAGCTGGTTTATTGATGTATAAATTACAATAACTTTTTCTTAAAAAATTTCAAAGGAGACAAATGTGATCATACCTACACTAATTAATGGACTTTTCCATCTCTTTTCCATATAGCAATGTACTTTTTGAAAGTTTTTCATTATTTTTTATTAGACACTAATTAAACCATTTATAAAGCAATAATAACTTGTTTATGAGTCATGATTCATTCGGCGATGCTAGCCATGCATTAATTAATATTAAAAATCTTCTCTTTTTTCCTTTTATGATTCCATTTCTATAGCAGTGATGTCATATTGTTTATAATGAATTAAGCCTTTTAAAGTCTTAATTAATTAAAAGATTAGTACATTTTCTTTATGTTGTACAAACTATCTTTTATGAATATTCAAAAGATTTGACTTTTTTTTTTTTAAATAAATCCACAATGTAAAATGTGAATTTTCATTTTATAATATTATTACAAATTGGTCATATTCCTTATGGATTTTTTGGTAAATGAAACATGAGGTCTTAGTCTTCATGAATATATGCAGTAAAACTTCAAAATTGTCCAAAATTTGCAGTCATCAAACTTGGATACCTATTGCCATGCTAATTATACCTCAATAATATCCCACATTTTGTGAAATAATATTCTTGACGAAAGCTTTTGTGTTGTGGTTTATTCAAAGTTTGGAGGAAATCTGCAATTATGGGTGAAACACCCCTTATATAGCAGTGCAGACCCCGCTTTACAGATGGGTCAGGATAGAAAACCGAATTTATTTTTATAAGGAAAGTATGAAATAAAAATTGATTATTTCAATTCTTAATTGCTTTATTGATGGAAAAAGTTTAAATGTCTTTAACAATTTTACAATGTTTAGAATTTAGACAATTCTTTTTTTTTAGAACTAAGTATGCCCAGTTTTACAGCTGAAAATGTTAATCATGTTTTCAAGTTTCCACAACGAAACAATGTGACCTATAACCTTTGGGATTTAGGGGGTTTTAAGATCGTTGTTCGCTGCAACATTCATGGAGTCATCAGAGACATGAATCAGCAGGTAGTATAGACCATTTAATTAAATCTTCTGCAATTTAAATGTTTAAAGAACAAGAATTCCTGTTCTGAACAATTATGAGCTTTTTAGAAGAAAATCTCTGAAAATTCTATCTGAAACTCATGAATGCAAAATTTGTCATCATAAATGTAATAAATGATAATTTACATGTTAGTTTGTTTAATAGTCTTTAATCTTTGGACAGTTATCATTTATTCATCTGATGCCTAAGCTGGAGTATCAATGTCAGTTTGGAATGGAACAAGTAACTCCTAGTGAGGCAGTTAGAACCTGGATCTCTTCCTACATCAGACCTAATTGTCGGGTTCTTAGAGGTAAGTCAGTTAATAGAGGGAAATAGAAACAAATAACTCTCAGTGAGACACCTAGAACCCAGATCTCTACTAATATCATACATGTACCTTACTTGAGAGTGGGGGGAGGGGAGGGTCCTGAGTTATAAGTTAGTAAGTTAAGGGAACTGGAACAAGTAAATCATTGTAAGACAGCTAGAATCTTGATCAGTCTTACATAAGAATCCAGAGTAATATGTCAATAAATGTTCCAAAACAACTTAAAATTTCTTGACATTATTTTAATTTCTTTGGTTATGAGTTCGTCAGGATACATTGATATTATGCTGGCATTTCAATGACACTTGAAGGAATTTAATTTATAAAGAAAAAATTGAAAATTGAATGCAAGGTAATGCAACATGTTGTTCACAAGTATGGTCCTTGTATGCTTTACCCAGTGTCCTATCCTGAAATGACTATATGCCATTTGATCTACTTACATACTCATAGTCCACACACCCACAGAGTGTACATTCAGGTATACTGATGTAGTTTCTATCATTTTAGCAAGATTTCACACCCAGAGAACAGAGCTATTTTCTGTAGAAGAATTACAAGCAGCACAGATTGTTCCACCATCACAGAACTTTAAGTAAGGCTTTTTATCTGACTGAGATTTCAGTTCTCTTCTTGTCTTGAAGTTTGACAGTTACAGTTTATATCAATTTTGAAATAACAATCTATTATTACAATTTGATATTATAGTCTGATTACACATGCATGTAAGAAATGCATAAGAATTCTATAGAGGATATTTTTTATGATCTGATTTCTGATGTCTAATTTTTTTCCAATAGCCCAGGGAATGGCTTTTTAATGTTGCAAAATATATTCCACCATCTGCATCAGTGAGTATGAATGATTGTTTTATTAAGTATAGCAATAAACTTGATTTTGCTTTAGACATGTATATGCTTTTCTTCAAGACAACAAGGCTATAATATATGAACTTTACCTTGAAACTTCAGTTTACTGTTCATTAAAATTGTTGAAGTATTAAGGACCTTAATTTGATAGCTACATTAAATAGGTTTCATTTATCTACATATCTAGTTTTGACTAAGGTGAGCATTGTGGCCCGTGAACTTGTTGTTAATTAGTCTTGGTTGAAGGGGCTTGAAACACCCTCTGGTCATAAGCCTCCTTTGTACCAAGTATGAAGTTTCTGTTATACAGGCATGTATTTATATTTTGCCTAACCCTTGAACCAAACGGTATGCCTTCAGCCTAATGGACTCAGGCGACCAGTTGAGTTCTAGAGTCTGCTTGTTGCCTTTGAACCCAGTCAATAAATGTATAATGTTTCTCCATTACAAAATTAGACATGTATAGACAATATACATCTGTACTTCCAATTTGGATTATTCTTGTTAAAGTGACCAAGGGTCATTGTCTGATACATCCTCTGACCAGAAGGTACTTTAGTGTCAGATTTGAGCATCTCACATTTTTTAATGAGAAAGTCATGGACAGGACACTAATTTTACCAATTATTGTAACCTTGACCTTGTTGAAATAAATTGGTTCAAGGTCATAACACATTTAGTTATTGCTACTTTTTGATTAAATTTAAATTAAAGTCTCATTGTCTACGTCTGAAGTAGACATTCTGATTAAAGTTGGTTGTTAACTCCAGTGTACTAGTGCTTTCAGTTCTTTTATTATAGGCTTTCTCCAGGCCAGTATCTTCTAAGTCATAAGAAGTCCTCAGATAAATGTGTAATAAAGAAAGCTACTGAAGACAATAAAAGGTATTATTGTCATCTTTTATTGCACTGATGTGAATGTCATCATCAACATCAATTTTCACAAAGTGATTGCTTTGTTTTTTTATGTCAAGAATTTTAATTGTCTGCAGATGTTTTGATGTCATAATAATAGCCATTTAAATACAATAGTCAGACTTTTTCCAGATCCTAGAGTTTTTATGCTGATTGATTTTTTTAAAACCGTTTGAAAATGTGAGTATGTGAATATCTAAACATTTTCTTTCCCAGAGGTTCCTATGACTTACATTTTAATCAGCTTGGGTTTGCTGATCCCGAGTTTGATAAGCGGAAGGTTCAGTGGACCCCTCTAGACCCCACTATTATGCTCCCCTACCACACAATGAATGGAAGAATCCCAGTGACCTTTGACCCACCAGGTAACTCAATAACATTTATTTCCATAAGAGAAAGCAATTCACCATTTTGAACTTCTAAATTGATTTTTTTTAATGAGCACAATCACTCCAATTGATAATAAATACAAGATCTTCTGTGGTTTATGGTTGGATTTTCAACCAACATGTTTTGCATTTTCTATCCCTTCGCCTAGGCTAGCTAGGGTATAGAAAACGCACAAACTTGTTGGATAAAAATCGTATTTCAATCATAAATTGTGGGAAATCCTATCTTTATCATATTTTACATAGCTACATGTATCCCTTGTTTTACATTGTTTCCTTGTATGAATCCACTTTTTTTGACTTCATCACTTTTACACACAAATAAAAAACATTATGATGTCAAAACGGTTAATATGAAACGATATCATATGACTGATATTCACGTGTAAGGGAGTATTGTGACTCATGATCTTGACTTTCTGTAAATCAATACATGTATTTTTAAATCTTTTTAGTGTAAATTTTAAGGATGTGATGCGTTATGCAAAAATTTCTCTGTTAGCTGATTGTTTTATTTGGAGGTCATGTTCTACTTTGATCACTACCACATTTTTCAATTTATACTCTGACAAAAATTTTGTATAAAATGGCATCCATGTGTTATTGTTTCACATTGATTTAATGAACATTTTTCTTTTGCAGATTTCAAATTTACCTACTCAGCTCAAAATAAAACCACTAAAAGAAAGAAGAAAAATAAAGGAAAACGTAAAAAGGACAAGAACAAGAATTCTGTATAAAAATTAGGTACACAATATCCCTGTGATATGTATATAGTTGTATGTTCTGTAATCTTTGGAGTTGATATCGATACTGCCAATATGAAACTCACTCCAGTAGAAAGCTGTTGATCTGATGCTTTGAAATAAACAAACATGAGTATTAATTAATGCTTTTTAATCAGTTTATACATGTATGACCTTATATAATTAGTGGATGTAATCTTATTAAAAAGTCCACCATCTGCTCCTTAGTGATTCCAGCCTTATGAACTATTATAACTAGTTTAGGGAGGAGACTGATTTATAACATTTTCATAGAATTAAGGACATATGCAACGTACCTTACCTACTGATAATTTTTCAAGATATTCTTAATTTAAGATTATAGTGCCATCAGATGTTCATAGACAAAAAATCAGCATGCATTACCAGGGGTTTTAAAAAGATATCAATTGATGAAAATTCTTGCATAATTCAAAGAAAAATATATGAAAATTACTAAACATATATTCTAGATGTTTTGTTTATCCAAACTTGTTTAAGAAGAAGTGTACAACAGAATATATAGACATTAAAATGCAGCACACAGTTCCTTTAAGTATTGGAACTCTTCAACTCCAGGGAAAAAGACAATAAAGTTCAAACTATGTTGCGTATGTCCTTCTGACAGACGGTGATATACTTGCATCACACCAAACTGTGAATCATAGGTTCGTACGATGCACATATTGCATCACAACCATTGTTAGCTATGGAAAAATAGTTCATTTTACAACGTTCAAAAGATGCAAACAGTTCTTGTTTTAGCAACAAAAACAACAAAATTAAATCTGTTCATACACTTGACTTCAACATTTGATATTCAATTTCATACTAAGGCATGCAAATGTGAAAGGATGCATTTTCAAACTTAGGACTGTATCATCGCAGTTCTTGTTTTCTGAATATCTTTATTCAGTAAGCACACCGTTTTTTTTTTATAATTTTGTGTGATTGACTGATTGATTGTATGTTGTTTTACGTCCCATTCAAGAATTTTTCACTCATATAGAGACGTCACCATAGACCGGTGAAGGGTTTCAAATTTTGACCTTTACTCAGGATGGGCTCACAGCAGGGGATCGAGGTTTTACACTGGAATATAATAGTATATAGAAAAATTTCGAGAATAGCATAATTATTTATTAATATGAAAGCATCGTCGGGTAGTGCAAAATTCAAGTTTATTCAAATCATGCCGCCGGGGGGATAGGGGATCAACGTTTTACAAGGGAATTTATATGAAAAATCTTTTTAAAATCCTCTTCTTAAGAACAGTAAAGTCATGGTCATAATTAGGACCCAGTCCCACCGTATTTTGGTAAGATTTTTTCATATAAATTTGATCTCGTATTGTGGCCCAACACTACCCTAGAGGCCATGATTCAAACAAACATGAATCTTCACCACCCGAGGATGCTTATATATACTCCAGCTAATCATGGCCTTGCTGATCATGAGAGAAAGTTTTTTTTAAGATGCTTTCTTATATCTTTGACACACTATTGTAGAATAGAATAGAATAGAATATTTATTCAACCAATTTGGGCCCACAGTGGAGCATAAAGATGAACAATATCCGAAATCATAGTCATAAAACACAATAAACAGAACAAAACAAACAATTGTATATTGAACAGAGAGTTAGCTGTCAACTTTTATGATGCATAAAATGTATACAAATAGTATATGTACAATGACTGTATGTACTGTACGACAGTCTCTTTCTATCAAACCAGATTTAAACAAACTCAGAATCTTCATTTGACATAATCCATGTAAACAGGTCCACATTATTAAGCAGTATTAAATTTGGAAAAGTTTTGAAGATTTTGTTTAAAAACTCTCCTCTAGAATCATTATACAATGAACATTCTAGCAAAAAATGTATTTCATCCTCAGTTGGACTTGAAGTACAGTAACGACAGACTCTTTCACTCCTGGGAAGAATTTCATTTTTACCACATTTATTAAGTATCCTTTCATATCTACCCGTCTCTACCCTTAAGCAATGATTACTTATTCTGAATTTTGTGAGAATAACCCGATTGTCCCGGTTTTTCATATTCAAGTATTTTTCAAAATTGAATGACCTTTTATACTTAAAATATGTACTTAATTTACCAAATCCTTCTAAGTAATTGGTACGGATATCTTTCCAAGAGTTTAAAAAATTATTATGTAATTGCTTTTTAATGTACAATTTAAATTTGTTTTCACTTAATTTTTTTGCAAAGGGACAAATCAATATGTAGTTTTTCACTGTAGAATAATATACTGGAGTACCAATCACTGTTGATGGTGTTTGACTTGCACTCATTGAAAGCTGCCTCCAGTAAATTAGATGATGTATGTTCTAGTCCATACCAGTACATGAAAATTTGCTTTAACATATCTATATATAATGGATACCTTCCCAGTTCAGAATAGATTCCTACGTTTATATAAGTTTTAGATACCCCCATAATATATTTACAGAATTTCATATTGAGTTTTTCAACTTCCCAGTCTTTTAATATATCAAAAAGAGGGACATTTTTTTCTTTTTGGAGTAACATTAATAATGCTCCAGTTCTCACAGCCATACAAAGCTATAGGTTTAATACAGTGATCAAATATAATTATGTAAAAATGTTTTTATAGAGGGATTAGCATTTTTTATATCTCTATAAAATTTGAAGTAGCCTTTAAGCTTTTTTGATACAATTGTTTTTTTGTTTTTTGTTGTTGTTGTTGTTGTTTTTTTTTTTTTTGTTTTTTTGTTTTTTTTTGGCTTCAATAAACTTTCTTTTGTTTTCAAGAGTTATCCCCAGATATTTATATTGTTTTACACATTCTATAATATCATTACCCAGATGGAATGCTTCATTTAGTAATTTACCCGAGTTGTTAAAAATTATTACTTTTGTTTTTCTAATGTTTACTTCTAGACACCACTCACTACAGTAATCATGGAGGAGATTGAGTTTATGTTGAAGATCTGATTTCGTATTGGATATTTGCATACAGAAGACATGAAATCTTTTCTTTATCTAGAGTAACAGGGACAGAATTATCATCCAAAATACTTGGGAGGTCATTTATAAAGAGTTTAAATAAACTTGGGCTAAGGACTCAACCCTACTACTTTAAAGCCCAAATGAAACTTTCAAAATTTATATCGTGGCCCCACGCTAACGACAACTATATAACGGGTATATTTAGAGGGATATGTCTTTTGTACTACACTGTACTATATTTTTAAAATCTTAGTGCGTTTTAGTCAACTCATGGTAAAAAAAAAAAGACACTTAAAATTTCTAAAGAATGTAATAAACGAAAATATCGAGTTTTGAGTTTATATCGTTGTGTGTATGTAAAACTGTAGGTTACCACATGTATACTGGTATGAATATATATTGTGTTTAAAAGCAAAGGTGTTTTCCTCCATTGACAAACACAGAATTAGAACAGTCATTTACGAGTTCAGAAATCAATAATTTTCTCTCCTGGTACCTGAGTGCGAATTCTCTAGCCTACATGTAGAGGATTCACTTTTAATAGATGTTAAAAATTACATTTGTGTACAAATATACCGAAGTACCCGACTATGAGCGAATTATTAACATATCTACATGTATATGATACAGGCCCGTAAGAAGCAAAATAAAGGTCATATGACGTTTTTGAGAGGGCATAACTTAAATTTGCATAGTTTTCTAATGTATAGTTTATACTTGCAAAATTATTGAGAGAAAATGCTGTAAATTAACTTTGTTTTATAGTAAAGTGTATAAACTTGCAAAATTTTTGGAGGTACCCCCCCCCCCCTTCCTACAGTCCTAGCTGTGATATCAAATAAAATAAACTTGAGTTATGTATGTTGTAGCTAGGTAAAGTTTTTTTTTTTTTTTAACTTTTATGGATGGGTATTTTCCCCATGAAAAGCAATGCTGAATTACAACGGTGGTTTCTTATCGCATATATGGTGCTGGGGACGATAGATCACCGCGACTTAAAATGATATTTGAATGTTTCACAATTAAATGGTCTGGAGTAAATTAAGGTATATGAATTGTATGATATAGTGCATACCCATTTTAAGGTACAATTTTCTCTCGAAGACATATTTTAATTCTATAGTTTTTTCACACTAGCGGATCCAGAATAAGGCTTGCAACCTACTTTTATCCTCCCCAAAAATTGATAATAAAGGGGAAAAAAGAAATAGTACATGTAATATTAAAGGAAGAAAGACAAAGTAATAATGAAGGAGAAAAAAGAAATAGTAATAATAAAGAGAAAAAAGAAATAGTAATTTAATAAAGGGAAAAAAGATATAGTAAAAGCCTGTTCCTCATACTCACCTCAAAAGTTTTTCAAAGCGTCGTTTGGAGTTTTGTTTCTTTCATTACCCCCCCCCCTTTTCTTGCTTTTTGGAAATGCATTTGCGTTTTCTGCATATACTATTTTATGGTTATACCCTCCCCCTTTTTCTAAATTCGTGGATCCATGCCTAGTGTATCCATTGCGTATATGATTCATACAAGGGTAGGCATCGCTTTATTTACAAAATCAAACGATTATTTCATACTTGTTGACTAAGCCCGCGTTGTTTCAAATACGCTGTTATACATGTGAGGAAAAATCCCCCCTTGATAAAGTCGAGATCATTTCCCGTGGTAAGGTACTACTTAACAGATACAACCGTCCGAGCTTGTCGCATGCCAGGCGGTGCCTAACAATTTCTATGGTTGGTAGCACTTGGCGACTTGACAAGTTGTTCATTTCGGCAGGGCAGACCGGGGAAATAAAATCAAATATCGCATTATTTTAGGTAAGTTAACTACAACGATTGTAAAATTATTTGTCTGCAGATATTTTTAATATCAAGTTAATGAGTTCCTTATTTTTTTAAATATATGTACATTGTGGAGTGTGTGGAGCCCAAAAAATCACATGTTGGTAATATTTTTATGACTCTTTTATTGCCCATCTCTGTCAACTGATAAAGGCACGTTAATACAATATTGTCTTATTATTCTTTCGTGAACATTTTTGTCATAAAAAGTGTGTAATATAAATAGGATATCATTGTTTCTATTATTTTTATTGTCACAAAAAAGCAAGCATTACTGCACTAGTGCATACCATTTTTTTAACGCCCTGATAATCGATGGATTAGCTAAAAAATTAACGCTTTAATCGGATAGGATTACTGAAATTTGTCACCATCGGTAGGTAGGCTAACGATTATAACCTGTATACAGAGATTTATTGATTACTCTTTTGTCTACAGTTGACAATAGAACAAAAGCCGAGAACAATCCCAGTAGGTAAATCATTTCTTACACTAAATAAATGATCATCTACTATACCAAATTGTCACACATCTACTATACCAAATTGTCACAAAAGAAATTGGCGCATATGCCTTTTTAAGCCCTGTTTTCTAATAAGAAGTTCATTAGATTTAAATAATATAATTAGGATTTTTTTCAAGAGGGGTCAGGTATTTTTCGACACCTATTGAAACCGACTTTTTAAAATTCCGAGATATTTATCTAAAAATTCGAACAGTCTATTTAACACAAAATTATCCCTAATTGCCATATACCTGTGTTAGAAATCTTCAATAACCCAAATCAAAACAAGAGCGAATTCCACCGGTATCATTTATATTTTTCTATGAAAGTATTTTTACAACGTGCTCTCGTGTCGTATGATCTGTAAGTTTTAAATTCTTTAATCCTATTTTGAAATTGATCTTTTGTACAACAAATATTTAACGAACAAGTTTCGTCAATCTATTATATATACTGATAAACTTTGCGTCCCGTAGGCAGCGGTCTTTGAGAAGTTTACGACCTTTGTTGTCCACCTTGCGTTTAACACTGTAAAGTTAAAATCCTATTTAAATACTGCCAATGAATCACCAACTAATTTGTAGGTTGTATAAACAATGTGAAGTGACTTGCTTCGAATTTTTATCAAGGAAGCCGATCTCAGTCTATATTGTTGGTCATTGTAGTGAACAGAAGAAGACACGCACCCTTTCACCCACGAACATTTGTAAACATTTGGTTTTATTCATGAGCGTTGACCGCATACCGTGCTGTCTAATTTCATAAAGAATATACAGATATGTGGATCAATTTTTCCAAAGAAAAAATGTTTGATTTCTAATGTAGTTGGATTTACGAAAGCAGTGAAAGAAAGTGTACAAATTATAGGAGAAATATGTACGTATATGGAAGTTTTACATTTTTTTGAAAGGTAAAAATACGAGCAGACTTCTCAATTGTGTAAATGAACCACTTATTCAAATAGTCACTAAATCTGAGTAGCAATCTTCTTGACGATCCCAGGTTTTTAGTGGGAGGGGATTATAAATTACTTTCAGTTAGGTAAAAAACGATTTGGACATTTTATATTAGGTAATAAAAACACGAGTTAATCTTTATTCAAAGCTTTGTTAATCCTCTTCGAAAATCTATTAACTCAGGGCTTAACCAAATCAAAAATATTATAAGTATATATTCATATTGTTTCATCGACGTCTTATGTGTTCCATGAACATAATACTCAATTAATTGTTAAAGGTCAATCGGTGATTTTCGACTGTTATATTTCAGCAAAAAAATGTCTGGAAAAAAGCAAAACGGCGGTCCAGTTCCGCATAAACCACCCACTAAACAACACGAGATTCGTGAAACAGACATCAACCAAAATGACCGGATCGCAGTTATGGAGATAATTAAATACTTCAAACAAGAAAGACATCAAATCATGGCGATGCTGAAGGAAAGTAGAGAACATTTTGAAACTCTGGAAATGAACAAACGTGCGATTCATTCAGAGATGGATGCAGTTCGCCAGGATATCAACAAACATCTAGATACATTGGAAGCCAAGCTTCGTAGAAATCTAGATGAAATTCATAAAGAGGCTGCGAAAGAATGTCAGTATCGAATCGCAGAGTTAGAGGCCCGCCAAAGTGCAATTCAGGAGTACCAGCGGAGGCTAGAAAACGTCATCAAGTTCTGGTCTCGAAGACGAGATTCCGATCTAAGTGCCATACACGCTTTTTATGAAAAGATAATTCAACATAGATTAGACACGACCAACAAGTGCTACGAGTATGAATTTCAGATCAATGATAAACTGGATAATTTGAAATCACTGATTAAGCAGTTTGGAAGCGTTCGATTAAATTGTTACGTCAACTCTTTTGACGATTCCGGTGTACGCGACATCCAGAGTTCTCAATTCGACCAAAGTTTGGAAGACTGTACCGCGGTGGTGTCGAATTCCTTTTCTATATGTGAGGACCATAGTTCTAATATTGGAGGATGTACATACCTCTACAACGGACTTCTGATGATCGGAAATCGGCTAACAAATTCCTTACAACAGGTAAATTTCACGTTATTCTGGGGTTACCAATATTAAAGCCAGTGTCCGACCAATATCGGAAAAAGATCTAATTCTTTGACCTTAGTTTTACTAACCCCCCCCCCCCTTGTTCTGCATTTAATAGAATGTCAATTCCTATTTCAAAGCTGAGGAGAATGAAAAAAGAGACAATCTTACATAATATTCCCATGAATTATTGATTGAAGTAATGCGCTACTTTAAAAATTTCCTCCAAAAAAAATGGGATTCATACATGTACTGGAAATCACTTAAATTGCTGATATCACTATTTTTGGTTTATATATATTTTTTCAGATAATTTATAAAAGGTTTAGAAATCATAAGATAATAATAATTAAAATATTTTTGGTACATTTTGAAGAAATGCGAAATTAAAACTGATATTCGAGGAACGTTTCGTCAGACCTTAAAGTTGAAATAAAACAGATCATCCTTCTGAAATTTCAAAAATGTTTCTTTAAAATAAGACGATGAAATATGGAACTATTTTCTTGGCAGTACGATCCAAGTGGTACTTTGACTGCGGAGATGCCGTTACAAGGAAAGCCATGGGACGTGTGCCTCGTCAATCCCTTCACAGTGGGCGTGTCCCTTCCCTACAACAAACCATGGAACATGTCTTACGTATCTACAATAGCCATTGTCGACACAATTCATATGAAAACAGGTAAAACATGGGATTGTCCATTACCGCATCTTGTTTACAAAAGATAAAAACAGTTTTTACCGTACGCGTAGAAGTAATTAAAGTTTTAAAGTTGTTTTTATTGTCACAGAGGTACATGTATACTCTTACAAAATAAATGACAAGTTCTTTTATATTTCAAGTAAATCGAAATGATATCTGCAGTTTGTGTACAGCTGTTAATTGTCTCTTCTCGAACTCCATTACTGTATTCTAAAACAGTCAAACTTTTTTTTGAACGAACTACACCGAACACTGAGTTAGATTGCGAATAAATACATGGATATAATAACATTTAGATTTTTATTTTCTATTTCAGTCAAAGAAATCTCAGTACACTCGAAGATCCACGGCCTGGCCTATGGGGAGGAGAAATTCTATGTGGCCTGTGTCACGGAAGTCAAAATACTCAACTTGAGGGGAGAATCTGTTCACGTGGTCAGGGTGCCTAACGCCTGCATCCGACAGGTCTGTACAAGTAAAGGCAGGCTACTCTTCTCCGACTGGAATCACAATTCAGTACAGGTAGGAATCAGAACTTAGCAACAGGAGTTACGTGGAATGAACTTATTAAAACTAGCTATGGCTTGATACCAATGCTTTTACTATTTACAATTCCACCATTATTGATAAGGTCAATAGTCAAAAAAATTAATTGATAGCATTGGAATTCAACATGAAAAATCATAATATTTTTTTTCCTTATAATTTTGAATAGGGACTCCATTTGTAGATAAATAAAGTTACCATTGTTTAAAAGACTTTTTACTACCTGAATAAAGGATGTTAATATTTTGTTACAGTGCTTTGGACGAGATGGCATAGAAATGTTCAACTACAGTCACCCCCTAATGAAAGGACCAGTAGGAATCTCCGTTGACTATGAAGACAATATCTACGTCACTAGCTTCATCTCCAACAATGTTCATCAGCTGACCCCAGATGGACAACTGAACCGAATACTGCTTAATAAGGACGACGGCATCAAGGAGCCCAGGGCCATCTGTCTTCAGAAGTACACCAACAGATTTGTACTGTGTGACAGTGCTGGAGTTAAACTATGTCAACTACAACCAACTTCAACATAGCAGACACTGCTGGAGTTAAACTATGCCGGCTTCAAAATAGCAGACGGTGTTCTGTATGACAGTGCTGAATTAAACTATGCCAACTATGACCAAATTCAACAAAGCAGTTGATATTTTATGAGACAGTCCTGAAGTTAAACTATGCCGACTTCAAAATAGCAGACGGTGTTCTGTATGGAGTTAAACTATATGCCTACTTGACCAACTTCCACATAGCAGATGATATTTCAATATCATGTTCAAAAATTTAAGTGATTATTAATTTGATCTCAGGGAAAAGCATATTGTGAGAAGAATTGTTCTTTCGGCATTGTCTTAATGTCCATAAATATGTTTTTTTTCATGCCTCAGCAATTTTTTTTCCGTAATATGTTCAGAGGTACAAGAGGATGCGTTTTCCACTGTCAGGAGGAGCGTGCAGAAATCATTTTCTCACTCAATTACTCTTGATTTCTACATGGTTTTATGTTGGGATTGTGCAATTAAATGAGATTGTTAAAGCATTACGATTTTATTTGTGTCTTCTCGTGTTCACATTTCAATATCACGAGACCAAAAAGAAAGGTGTGCTTTAAGATATTATACAACTAATCGTTCTTTCAGAGGCGGACATGGTGAAATGCTGATCCTAGACCCGGTCCGGATAACAGCCGGGGTCAGGTCATCGCATTTATAATTATGTCGGCTGACCTATATTCTCGTAAGGATAACCCTGCCCCCTCCCCCTGACTTGCATGGGGTTTATCCAGTGTTTTGTTTAATCGACATTTTTGGACAAATACCGTTCAAAAATTCAAGATGGAAATGAAATAATATAAATTGTTCATATTCACTCTGCGCCTGGAAAATGTGATATTTTTGAACCGCTGATCTATTACGGTCCCTTGTCCCTCTGATAAGAAAAATAACTCTGACTGGGATAAATGACTTTTAAATGTCAAGTGAAAAGGAAAATAATTAAAAATGATATTTCCCTTAAGTCATGTTTTCTGTGGAAATAAAATCAAGAGGCTTATTGATTTGGTACACCAAAGTCACCGTCTTATGGACAGATGAATCTGAAATGAGATCGTTTATTGTGGCCCCAAGCTGATCAGAAGCTATAATATGGTCAGTCTGCAGTATATACATGTATATCGATTTTCGATATCTATCCTCGTTCTCTTCATGATTCGTCTTTTTTCTTCCAAGAATAAAATCTGGATAGGTTTTTAGCTCACCTGAGCTGAAAGCTTAAGTGAGCTTTTCTGATCACCCGTCGTCCGTCTGTAAACTTTTCACATTTTCAACTTCTTCTCAAGAACCACTGGGCTAATTTTAACCAAAGTTGCTTCAAAGCATCCTTGGGTGAAGGGGAAGCTTAATTATTAAAATGAAGGGCCAAGCCCAATTACAAGGGGAGATTATCAAAAACAGGCAAAAATAGGGTGGGGTCATTAAAAAATCTTCTCAACAATCACTGAGCCAGAAAAGCTGAAACTTATGTGGAAGCATTCTGAGGTAGTGTAGATTCTAAATTGTAAAAATCATGACCCCCGGGGGTAGGGCGGGGCCACAATAGGGAATCCAAGTTTTATATTGAAATGTATAGAAATCTTTAAAAATCTTCTTCTAAAAAAACTGCTGGGCCAGAAAAGCTGAAACTTATGTGGAAGCAACCTTGGGTAGTGTAGATTTTTATTTTTAAAAATCATGACCCCCGGGCATAGGGTGTGCCCACAATAGAGAAACTAAGTTTTACATTGAAATATATAGAAAAAAAATCTTTCAAAGTCTTCTTCTCAAGAACCACTGGGCCAGAAAAGCTGAAACTTATGTGGATGCATCCTGGGGTAGTGTAGATTCTAAACTATTAAAATCATGATCCCTTGGGGTAGGGTGAGGCCACAATAGGGAAACTAATTTTTACATTGAAATATATACGAAAAATCTTTAAGGATCTCGCTTTTAAGAACCACTGGACCAGAAATACTGAAATTTAAGTGGAATCATATTGGAGTAGTGTAGATTACAAATTGTTAAAATCATGACCCCTTGGGATAGGATGGGGCCACAATAGGTTTTAAATTGGAGAAAGTCTGGTGAAGAACAGCAGGGCCAAAGTTACTCAGGTGAGCATTGTGTTCCATGGGCGTCTTGTTTAAGCATAGCCTGGAGGAGGGAGACATATTTTGCCAAATACATACTTGTTCTTGTAGATTTTTTCTTCCTCAGATGTTAAAATAATTTTTTGGAAAAAACTTAACATGTACATTAATTTGTAAAACTATTGAGTTTTATCTAGGCCTGATCACAGTTTGGCGAAAACTAATACTTTACCGCAGATTTTTACACTTATTTTTTCATTTTGTAATACCCAACCTCCCCTTTCATTGGTCATATTTATAATAAAATTTTACATCCTGAGGATTTGAAATATAATCGTATTCTTGTTTCATTATCAACGTATTTGTTTATTTATCATTATGATTATATAAGAATTCGAAAGTTTTCTCATCAAAGTTTCTTGTCCACAGGCTAGTATTTGGACCAACGTTAAAGGGGCCTGGACACAGATTTGAAGTTAATATTTTCTCAAATTTACTGTATAATATCATGACTTATATTTTGCTATAGCATTTCACACGGAAATATAATAAAAAGGTGTTTAGAAACTTCTTTTATCTGGAAATTATTGAGGCTACGAATTTCGGGACGCGTTTGATTGACACTTCCTTGCATTTTCACAAAGTAAACTTCATCCTTACTTACAAAATTAGTAGAAATTTTGTTGTGTATTAATGAAAAATATTAAAACTATAATCAAGAAAATTCAGAGTACAAATGTGAGAAAGCAAAACCAACTCACCAGTTTTGTCAGTCCGTGCTCAGTGATGTGTGCAGAGTTTAACAAATTGAACACACCCGGTGAAACCTACACATTAACAAAAACAGAGCTCGTGCCCTGTTTACAAAAACTATGGTGTCCGGATAGGGCCATTTGCAAAAGCTCAACAGCGCATTCAGAAAAACACGCCATCGCCCTAACACAACACAACACAATTATACAAAACACGTCATCGCGCTTATACACAACACGCTGTCGCGCTAACACGCTTTCAAACAACACGCTGTTGCGCTAACACAACTTTACACAACACGCCGTTGCGCTGTCACACAACACGCCGTCGTGCTAAAGCAACTATACACAACACGCTGTTGCTCTGCCACACAACTCGCTAACACAAATTTCTGATAGGGCGACGGCGTGTTGTTTGTTAGCGCGATGGCGTGTTTTTCTGAACGCGCTGTTGAGCTTCTGCAAATGGCCCTATCCGGACACCATATTGACGTGATGTAAAGGAGAATGTCGTTGTCATTGAATTCTAAGAATATTCATGAAGTTCAATGCAACTGTGTCCAGGCCCCTTTAACTTCAGTCTTGTTCATATAGCGAGAAAATAAATATATACAGAAAGGTTGCTGTACATTTTCACAATTATTTCCAATCGGAAAACCGGATCTTCAACAAAATAAATCTGTAGTTCATGTAATCAATGGAACTTGAGGCAAGTTTGATTGCAATTAATTACAGGATTCAAGAAAATAAGTTGAAAATATGGACGAAAATATTGAAAGCAGATGGAGAGACCGTTATAAGACATACATGTACATTTTTGTACAAAGTTCGACCAGAGAAGTTCTAGCAAAAATGGATCGATTCCGGCTTTCCTAGAGGTTACATATTTGTAAAAAAAAAAACAAAAAAAAAACAGATAAATAATATTTTTTATGAATAAAAAAACCTAAAGATACATTTATTTTTAACAAAAACCATACACTACATGTAAACTAATACGCTTGGTATCAGAAAAAAACACAGTGTAACAGTCTTTTAAACAACACAGCGTCTTTTACCTCTACGTATATACGAGGGTTGTCCACAAAGTTCAAAGACAAATGCTATAATTTTCTTTGTAATGACCATACTGCCAAACGTGTACAATATTTTTATATAGAACATGATTAAGTAAATATATAAAACTTAAAAAGAACACACAAAACTTATTTAAAAGTTTATGGCATTTTAACCCTGGGGGCACTCGGAGCTCCTCGGTAGCTCGTACCTCGCACACTAACTGTATGGAGCGTAGCGGGGTCAGCCGAGGATTGCCGATGGCCCTGGGGGGCGTGCACGTGCACACTATCTGCAACCTTTAAAGACCGCAAAATATTAAGTTCAAACGATGACTTGGATTTTTGGTCCATACAATAAATATATCTAGGACCATTCAGTTTGACAACAAGAGGCCCAAGGGCCTTAACGGTCACCTGAGTACAATACAACAATTTAGAGGATCCATAAACTGATAAATGAAGCTTTGTTGCCCAAAACCAAGAAAAATAGTATGATTAGCATCAACAAAATAATTGGTCTAGTATCTATCTGTCCCCCATTTATCACTATTACCATGCAGACTATTAACAAAATGTCTATTTTTTAACCCCATATTATTACTTCTCACATTGGCCTCTCTTGGCCTTTGAAGAACATTTAAAAAGATAAGTTATTTTTGTCTCATTTTTATTCATCTATTATTTCCAAGTCTACCTGATCATTAAAGCTATGATAGTACATTTTGCATTATACAATAAATATTCTTGCATAATTCTTGTATTCTATTAACCTTTCAAATACATTGTTTCCAGTGATTAATTATCAAAGGTGAATGGTAAAGGGGAATTAATTCTGGTTAAAAAACCTTTGCATATTAAAACTTTTACTCTGTTTGCCTCGAATATGCCCAGAAGCATAGAAGATTTTCAAAGATATGCATTTTCACTATATTATTAAATATATAAAGCCCCACCCTTACACCAGAACATCTGACCTAAGGGCCATGAACTCACAATTCTGGAAGAAGCACCCTTGCTCATCATTACTATACACTTGTTTCTTTGCTTTATAACCAGTAGTAGAAAAAAATATTTTGAAAGAAATTATGCATTTTCACTATATAATCAATAGAGTCCCCCCCCCCCCCCACAAGAACCCCTGACCCAGGGGCCATGAATTTCACAATTTTGGAAGAGGCATTATTCCTTATTATATCTATGCACTTCCTTTATTTGAAAAATATCCAAGAGCAGAGAAGAATATTTTGAAAGAATTTATGCATTTTCCCTATATAATCAATAAGAGCCCCACCCTAAGACCAGAACCCTT